CATGAGTAGAAATTTAAAAGAAAGCAAAATAATATCTCTTGGAGTGAAATGAGATTAATTCATACTTTACAGAATTCTTACTGCATCGCTTACAATGTCTTAAATCGAAATATAAAAGCAGTCTTGTGCTCGAATGGACATATTCAACAGAACAGTTATTACGAAAATACTGTTATTATTAGCCTACATCCTTTGTACTTAATACGTACTCCATAAATCGACAACAGACAATAAAAATTAAAACTTACTAATTGAAAGTATGACTACAATAACTACTGTAGGGATATGACCTTGTAATGAGATAAGATAGTAAGAACATTAAAATATATGAAGATAATTAGCAAACAAATTGGATGGACATTTTACACTACTTATAAGTAAGATAACTAGGCATACTGAAAAATATTGACATCAGGGTTGCGAAAGGCCTTCTATGAGAAATCACTGAAAAAAGTAATGTTGTTACATATTTCTGTCAATCTAATCATATAAGCATGTATTCAACAGAATTTTATAATTCAGTTTAATAATGTATCTCCTTTGATTGAAACTTCTCTTAATATTTTCATTCAAAATAATTTTGATCGCTATTCAATAAACAAAAATCGGAAAATTTTATTTTGTTAACTCAACGACACCGTTACACAATTAATTGGCAAACCTAATAGAATGCTGAAAATGACCATTGGATATTTCAGAGTGAAAAAGAAGAGTATTAATGAATTGTGTGCCTTTTAATTTACCAGATAGTAGTTATGAATATTAAACACGAACTTATCGAAAGTATTCAAAACTAGCTAAGTGTTGAAATGGAGATATATATTTAAAATATACTAGAGATAAAGTTGGTTGAATATTTACTTACTGTCGAAAAGTTATTTTATTTCGTTGGCCAACAACCCAAGCATTTCCACCCACTACATCATTAAATGTACGTCTTGCTGGTACAACACCTAATAATCCAGTTGCATGACCACGTAAACCAAGAACGACTACGTCACGATTCCGATATGCCAGTACAATAGACGATACTTGTTGATTTCGTTTTAAACAACTAGAAACATTCTCTTTTCTTGTCATCATACTGTTTACCAACCAAGTGGATAGGACAATTTCTAGTCGTGATTGTTCATGATCAACAAAACATACAATACCTGAGTATGTTTGAGAAATTACACAGTCTGTATTTTTTGAATTCGCCACATACACCAAAGCTGGTACCCATGCGTGTTGTTTAGTGGGATTTTTCTCTGATAGTTTACTTGCCTTACCAAAAATTACAGAATTTTCCAATGTTTCAACTTTGAAATCAACATGATCTCCAATACGAAACGAACCTAAGAGCTCGTCTAAAATAAAAAATAAATTGAACAATAAAATAAAAAATTTGCTGAAAAATAATAAGAGATTAAGATAAACTCAATGAAAGAAGGTGGTTAAGTATGTATGGAATAAAAACAATGAATACAGTTAAGTGGTTTTTGAAATCAATTCTTGCTTACGTTTCTGTGAGATCCATTCTCTTTCAGTTAAATAATATTTTAGTGAATGTATTGCCTCATTAACATAATTTTCTTTAGCAGTGTATATATCAAACATTTTCAAGCTTATCAAACAATGACGTTTTTCAGGAGTCACTTCAACAATCTTGGCAATAACAGTAGCACCAACTGGAAACAATTCAGTCCAGTTAGTATTAGACGGAACGCGACAGTCAGATAAAAGATGCTTCGGTGCCAAACCATAAATCCCAGCGGGAAAGTGAACAAATACACCGTAGTCCTTGTGATGTGACACCCAAGCAAACCACTGACTACCAACCTATTCGAAACAAAAATGCACAGAACGAAAAATAATATTTAAAAACTGAGGTGAACGGAAAACGTGTTTAGTGTATATTGGTTAAAGTACTACTGGAACCATTTTGACTGGTGATCAGTAAGTCAGTAAATAATGAAGGGTGAATCATATAGAACAGATAAGAGGCCCATTTTAAAATATCATAAAATTCTATGTATATAATATTTGCTAGCTACAGTATTTTTTTTCAAATGTTTTTCTTCGTATTATTGTGCTGACAGAAAGCGTATTCATTTAAACTTTTATAATATTATCCAGAGTTTTACGTTTTCGATAGATAGATATTAAAAAGTTAATCGTTTTTGTGAATGTATACTTACATTTTAACTTGTTGTTTTTGTACAAAACATAGATAATGTTTGTTTCGCCTTCTATTTATCTATTACTTTGCTTATCTTGACGAAGCGATAAAATAGAAGCTTCAACTATTAGTAAAGAGCTGTAAGCGACTGTAACCACATAGTTATCTATGCACGACCTGGAAAGTCATGCAAAATTGAGATGTGGTAGCGACCGACGATTAACATGATGTATAAAGTATAAAACACGTGACTTACTTGTAATTCATCAAACGTTCTTAGGAAACCAGGCCTTTTAGTAGATACTTCTGAATCGGCCTTATTAACATCAGTACTAATATTTGTATTCAAATCACTAGCTGCTTGAATTAATGTTGGTCTAGCAGATAAAATAACAGTTTGCTTCCCTTTATCAATAACGACAACATCACGAGCAAAGTGATTCCAATCAAGCGAAGAGCCAGATTTTATATTTTTAATATATCGACTTAAAAGTTGTTGATTTGATTCATAATCAGATAATTGATCAAATGACAGAAATCCTGTACCGAGTACAGGAGTGTCAGTATTACTGTTCTTTTCATTGTCGTAAAGGTTAATAGAAATTCCAGTGTCTTGTACCCGATTTACAGTAGCCCTGAAAAGCTAACAATACAGTTAAAAAATGGGAAAATAATAGTTATCATTATGAAATTGACTGAGTGAAGTTAGCTATTAACACTGTTTCACAAACGCAAGACCGAATGTCCGAGATTGTTGTTGATGTGTACTGTTGAGGAGTCTAATACCACTGATAGATATATGCATTCAATAAAAATAATAATTGTTGATAGATTGTGATGAATATTCATCGTTGCTATGAAAAAATCCCTTAACTGACCAAAACATCGACAATTATTCTTGGAAGTAAACTGTTTACCACACCACTATGGGAGTAATAAAACTGAACATCGAAAAAATACATCGGGCAAGAAAATGAATATCCATGACTGTGGAGGCTTCGTGAAATCATCAAATCTATTTACTAAAACTTAAAAAGCTTCGATTTCACTGATTTTCGTACCTTTATCACATCAAGCGCTAAATGTAGATTAAGTAGTAGTGGCGTTCAGTGTTCATAGATTAAAGGATATTTGTATGGGTGCGGACCTATAGTTACTGTTTAACTGAGATTGAGATCAGAAACAGTGGGAATTCAATCAGAATTACCTATGGACAAAACATTTAAAACAGATTATCCAAAAATAAATGAAAGAGTTAGCAGGTATCTGAGTCTTAATGAATGTGAACTAAATTGATCCTTTGAAAAAAGATCACTTCACGAGTAGTGGTGTAGTGGTTTGAACACTCTACTAGAGTTATAAGTTTAAACCTAATTTCACTAAGCTAAGTTTAAATATCACCATTATTTATACTGTACCTAGCTTGGAGCCCTTCTACAGTTACTCTCGGTCCCGAGTGCCGATAAAGAAGGACTGTTGAGCATGGAGTTAGCGACTATATCCCGTAGAAAAATAACATGCTAAAAGAAAGGCTAAACAGAAAAAATAATTCAAACCATTTAAACTCTGCACAGTCAGTTGAAAGTTTTCATTTAGAAAAGCCATCATGCCTGATAGGGAAAACTGAGTTTCGTCGGAAGCCACGAGGCTAATGCCCCTTCTGACAACCAGAACAACCATTAATTTAGGTACATGGGATGTTCGCATAAGTTAAGTTCATTAAGTTCAAGTAAGTAGCCGTAAGCCAATATTCCACAGTAACATATATCAATAAATCTTTTCCCAACTGTTAATCAAGATCATTTTCAGTCAAGGAAAAACGGCAAATTAACATTTAAAACAGAGCTATCAACCATAAACAACGACAAGAATATCTTATTTTGAAAAATATCAGTCTTACCTGACCAATTTGCACAGAGTTCAAGAATATCGACTGTGTGTTTTTAGTTTTCTTAGAATGAAACTAGAATAAAATGAAATTTATGAAAAACAGTTAGATGATTAGTCACAGCTGCAGTCAAGTCAGAAAGAGCCTCGGAGTTTATTCGAAATCAAGGCCAACGAGGAACAGCTGATTGTTAGAGTAAAAAGATCACCATCATGGAATTGTCATCATTAGATCATGAAGGTAACATTAACTTATCTCTTTACTTTACTCAACCTCTATGTGGTAACTTATTGATATAAACAGTCCTATATGTTTGATTGATTAAAGGTTCACAATTTGATGAACGCTGGATGGCAATTTCAACTAATGTATCAAGAGCATATATTACGTTTCATGATGTTCGATTCCAGTAATTTTCCAATTCAATTTATTGGGGTATAGGAAGCAATTTATAATCAGGAACATAGATATATCCTGGTGGTGATATTCTCATAATTTCATGACAAAAAATTTACAAATAAAAAGAAAACAAATGTACCTTTAAGGAAAGCATATACTTTGAACGAGTCCTCTGATTATCATCTATTTTATCTTCTGATGAGATGTTAATTTCACGTTTAAATTTCATTTTCAGTACTTGTCCACGATAAAAGTTTGTCTGCAAAATATCTTCATCAGCTAGTCCAGTCTCACGTCTAGGTATCCATCCACGAATATTATCCAAACCAGAGATAAGTAAACCTTTTTCACTGACCTTAACAATAAACCCTATAATCAATAGTTGGTCATTATTGGCCTTTTCCAGTGCAGAATACATTTCCTGACTGCCAAATATTGGAAGTTCAGCATTTATTAAACCTGGTTTTGCGGTTAAAATCAATTTATTGGCACATTCGTCAAGTTGTAAAACCTAAAGTGAAAGAAAGAAAAAAGTTTACATTTAGTTTAAAATTATTGCACTACAATTTCTGTTCAAAACTAGTTCAAAAGTTGTGCACGAAACTAAAACACGTAACTAAAAATCAGAGAGAAGAAATTCAACCAACAGAAGATTCACGATCGCAGTTATAAAGAATTACTATCTGAAGTTTGTGCTGATGATGTTGTTCAGAAGAACAATGAAAGCTCGACAACCAAAACATCCAGCTCAGAGTACCAAACACCACCACCACAAGAATTACTGCATTTATGAGTAATATCTACTTTACAAAGAGACGAAACTATCCGAGCAGTTCTAAAAATTGTCCATAGATGTGTTAATGATCCAGATCTATTTTTTTAAAAATACAGTAAAATGTCTTAAAGAAAACGATATTAATTTATCGTCAAATAATATAAGAGTGAATGATTATAAGCTTCATATAACTCATAGTGAAACATTGACAAGGGCTCAACTGATTTGAAACATGAGATATATCAATTGATATACATTTTATAAATATCATCTCAGCTAGTCACACAACAATCTAAGTTTTAAAAATAGTCTGCTTACAATATGGAAGTATGGAATTAATGTAACAAAGTCGAATCTTTTACTAAACCGTAACTATTTTCAACGGGGTTCCAGAAATAGCTCAAAAATGTAGGTATAATTAAGATTAAAGCCTAGAAATACGCATCAGCAATCTGAGATAGCATTTCACACCAGAAACCATATAACTAATGTTTAGAAAATATTCAAGTCGCAAACTGTTACATTCGAAGGAAATAGGATTTAATTCTAGTGAATTCAGTTGCTTTTAGCTGTAACTGATTGATTAGACGCATGGCATTTCACTGCCGAATCGTAATTTCACAACTACTTTAATTCGCATGCCTATTAATTGTTGTCATCGTTTACACATAGAAACTTACATTGATTGTAATGTAAACAACGCTGAAACAACAAGCTTTAACCGTCTTTAATTAAGAATGCATGCATGAAGACAATTGAGAATTTACAACGATAAAACAGAAATAAACAACAACCAACTTACTAAACAAGAAATTTTTTCGCCTGCTTTAAATTTCTCTTTATGATCTTTGAGATTAACATCAGTTGTGTGTAGATAAGGTATTAGTCCGTGAATCCGACCCTCTAGGTGAACAACAATGCCAGTTTTTGAATAACGTTTAACAGTGGCCTGTAGATAGTATAGAAAAACAATTACGTACACATAGATATAAATTAGTAGAAATCTGATGGGAAATTGAAGTTTCCCCATACACCACTATTCTTTATTTGAATAAGCTATGTTACACGATCTACTGTACTAACAAAACAGTATCTTGATCTAATGAAGTTATTCAAACAGCTGACTAATTTTGAACAAGCATATGGATTACTTCGGACAAAAGGAAAACCAGTATTAACATTTAACAGTTAGAATAATTTTCATCAATAGACTTTAAAAATGTGGATCGAAAGCAAATAACTATTGAAGGACGAACAAACATATGAAATTTATAAGGTAATTGACTAATGAGACTTAGTACATGTTTATGTGCTCAGCTTTGAGTCACTTTTTGGTTTGATAGCCAGCGAAACTACCTCACTATCTAGATTGACATACAAGGTGCAGAATTTGAACTAATCAGTCACTCATACGTTGCGTAAAACCTGACACATATGTAAATCGGTTCAAGTTGTCATACCATATTAGTACAACGAGATAAAATCCAGATAAGTGCCAAAGTATTGATAATAGTAACAGTATAAGTAGTAGCAGGAAAAAAGGATTTGAACAAACAGATAAATAAGTGAAAGTAGATGTTGGGGTAAGCGAGACAGTCAGCCAGTTGATTACAACGTATATATATATCTGAAAAAATAGAAAGGCCTAGTGAAATGATTCAGGACAATCAATACTTTATGTACAACAGCTGAACAACGAAAGTTTCGGTGCTAATTTTAGGCAGTAGTTTTGAAGAACAGGCTCTAGATTTTGAGTTCACTTCACATCTATGAAGTTTAACTCAATGCCAGATCTATTAGTAGTATTATACTGACCGTGATAAAGTTTATGGTTAATCCCTTGAAATAAAGATTTGTCTACTACGATGGCCATTTTTATGGCACACAATAAAAGTGGAAAGTTAATAAATCACCATATGATTTGACATTTATATGTTAAACTATTTTTTCTGTTTATTCGGTACCTAATTTACTATCTTATATTGATTTCGAACAGTCAATTCCTATCAATCAGAAAGTGTTAAATATTAACTTTGTCTTTCAACACAATTTTGTATAAAAATATGATTTCATTAAATTTGTATCAGTTATCTAAAATCGAGGTATGTTTTGTACATTCACTGACAAAAGTTATTCTCAACTGAATAATGATTATATATGCTTTAAAAAGTTGTAATTATCAAATAAGGATAATGACATTGAGAAATACTTACCGATACTTTATTCCCAGGTTTTAATTCATGAAGAGACAAAAACGGTACACTCAACAGTTTCCTGAAAACAACAAGAGCTCAGCATTATGTTTGTGTGGAAAGGGAAAGTAGAAAAACTTTTAATGTATGTCGAAAATAAATAAAATCCCTTCTTTTAAAATATTTTATGTCAGCTTATTTACCAGACACTTTGGTACGAATCATACTAAGTGTAAGGGCTAATGATACTACACGGTTTCCAAAACCAAAGTAGGTGAGACGAGGTTTGGACCTTCTAGAAATTGAGGTAACCTGCTTAAGATTTTATAACAGCGAAATCCTAGTAAGAATAAAGAAACATAACTGTCAGGATTGTTACTCTTGTAGTGAACGAGAACACAGGTGGGGCAATCGGATTGTATTTAACGAAAATTACAGAGTTACTCAGTAAAATTGGAAAACCACAACGTAAATCGTTCATTTGCAAAACATCAGTCCATCATAGCGAACTGGACTGTTCCTGTTACAAAACATCAATCCATTGTCACTATTCATGCATTTCATACAAATCCCATAGTGTTCTAACTCTTCCTTTCTTGACCTTCCCCCATCTTCTGCTGCCAGACATTACGTTGACACTCACGTCATATACTACTTATAAGTAGCTCACACCACACTCTAACCTACCTAGTGATCATTTTTATAAAACAAAAAAACTTATGATTTTTTACGAGCTCTGTTATATGGTTATATCCATATTAGTATAACGCGTCAATATTTTCATCATTACTTTTTGCTATCTACCCAAAACGCTAACCAAATATAGACAAATAATGTAAGAGTTTAATAACATAGGGCTCATTTGGAAAAAATTCAGTACAGATTAATTATGTCAAAAACTTTACTATACATTGGTCCATGATTGAATACTTTTAGTCAAGTTACTAAATCCTTGAGTTACAAATCTAGCCACGTATTACAAGCAAACATTGTATTACACGAGTAGCTCGCAGCAAACTAACATACCTTTTAAAAGAATCATAAACCTCACATTGTGTTCGTAGTGTGATCTGTTATTCAAGTTATATGTGAGTGACATTTCAGACGTAAAATTGATGACTAAGTGTAGATACTCACTGTCTCTTTGTTTACTCCAATAACATGAAATCTGATGCAATTAAACATCAAAAAGGTGAGCGAACCGAAGTGATCAAACTCCTAATCAGATTTAATTTATTATTTTCTGTGATTGAAACTTTAAAGCAAATCCAACGTTTCAGTTGGCAATCTGGTCCACGCACTTTAAAAGAAATATAATCAACCATCAAAATTATTGAATATAAATACATGGCTTAGTCAGTCAGTGAAAATGTAGAACTTCGTACATCCGTACATACATAAGTTCACGCTGCCATACCACATTAGCACAAAGACTCGATTGTCAGTCAAAATCCCGAAACAGTAGACGTAGAAAAAGAATTAGAGGTTATGAAGGAGATTACGGTTCCAACAAATTGTTCATGAAGTAGAATCCAGTGAAATAAATTTAAAAACAGAATAAAGGTGATGAAGAATCCAGAGGATTAGGATTTGAGAGAAGCCAAAGAATGGATGCACCTGCGCTGTTGCAAACGATTTTGAGCCATGTCATTTAGGGTCGCTAACCATCAGTTACTATTGTCTTGCGAACCCTGACCTAGTAGTCTACACTCACCAACTTGTCAGTCACTTCATGGGTTTGTACCATGTTTCGGTCTGGCCGCTCCTAGCTTTCTTCCATCCTATACCTACACCACAAAACATAGCTCGTCGAGGCAGTCGGTGGTCAGGCATACGTAACACATGTCCCAACAACTTCAACTGCTGAAGTTTCACTACTTCCACTTTCACTACTAATTGATTTGCTATCTTTACCTAGTACTCGTATCCTAGCAACAGCATAGCTTACTCGGTAGTCCCAGGATACACGAGCAATGCTTCGAAGACATCTATGGTCTAAAACCAGTAACCCATGAATATTCTCTACTCTGACTGGTCATGTTTCGTACCCATGCAGTAGAATAGGTTGAACTGATGTGCAGTAGACAAGTTCTTAAGCTAGTAGACGGATATCTCGCCTACACCATAAATGACGCAAGTTGGCAAAAGCTCGTCGAGCCTTCTGTATCCGTGCTGAGATTATGTCATACACCAGGCCATCGGCACTGATGAGACTCCTAAGATGTGGTCAATAATCTCAACTGATTCACTCCCTATCACTGGTTCAGGTGCCAATGGAATCCAATCCTGAAACAACATTTTGCATATTTTGGGAAAGAAGTGCGTCCAGAAAATGCTTGCATGGTTGCTCAATGTGGTCAGAAGACTCTGAATTTTGTCAGCGTCTTCACCAAATATAACTATGTCATCTGCATATTCCAAGTCAATCAGTGAATCTCCTGGTAGAGGTCAACTCCTGAAAAGTCAGATGCAAGCGTCGTACATAAAAGCACGTTAATGACAAAGTTAAACAAGAATGGAGAAAGTGGACAACCCTGATGGACACCACTTGAAGTAAAGAATTCCGATGACAGTTCGCCATAAGCTCTCACTCAACCAGTAGTGTTCGAGTAGAGAGCCTGTATAAGGTTAACGTACTTCTCTGGTACACTTTTCAATGACAGACACTATTACAGTACCTCACGATCAACATAGTCGAATGCAGTCTTAAGGCCAAGGAATACAACTACAGTGTATATATGTTCCAGGACCTGACGGAGTGAAAATATGGTCGATACATCCACGTCTAGGTTTGAAACCAGCCTGATTTTCTTGAGTCTGCTCTTCGCGAGCTCCAGTTAGGCGTTTAAGTATTATCGTGGCTAACATTTTAGACACTATATTAGTTAAACTGATTCCTCTGAGATTGTCACAAGAGGACTTTTGTCACTGCTAAAAGTTTGGGACAATCAGTGATTGACACTGGTCAGACTGGATTACGTCCGGTCACCATATTCTACTTGACATCTCGGTCAACCTAACTGCATCACCGATTAATTGTAAGCTAAGCAAATTATTCAACTATGTTAAGTGTGGCAAGCGGCATTGACTATAGTATGTGTGGAGCACTTGGTGTGAAAAGTGTGTTAAGATAACATGTATAAATGTGCCAATCAATCTTTCCCCAAAGTTAACATGATTGGATGATTTGTCTGGTTTACAGATAATTCGTGAACCATGTATTTATATTCAATAATTTTGATGCTTGATTATAGTCCTTTGAAAATGCTTGGACCAGATTGCCGCGTGAATCGATGGATTTACTTAAAACTTTCAATCAATGAGACTGAAAAATACAATTTTCCTATTCAATGTTTTATATGAATATCAACTAGTCACCCAACTATTGTGAAACTATTAGTTCAAATTTAGATGAAATTGATATAGAAATAGCAACAGACAACAGAAATTAAATTTTACATGTTACATAAGTTTCTTGGCACTTATAATTCACTCCAGAAAAATATAACTTTGGGTATGAAAATTTTAAAAAGAGGAATTCTCTAATGGATAATAGACTGTACCACTATTGAAACGGAAGCCTTTATCAGTGATTAAATTTACTCAATCCATATCACTAAAGGATAATTGATGGTATTTATAGCCAGGAAATTTCTTCGTGAATCATTCAACAACCTACTGTAAGCTTACTTACAAGACAAGAATACAACTCAGTTGGTAAGTTTCAGTTTATGTATGCAGTTTTCAGTCACTGTTCATAAATTTGATGGTTAGTAATAATAAAGGCTAAAGAACGAAAATAGGTGGGTGGGGGAAATGTAACACAATTGTTGAGAGTTCATAGCTTTAACAAATAAGCTGCTGCTTACAGCATACAAAACAACCATGTCTTGAAATGAAGTAAAATGAAATATAATAGCTTGGATTATAAACTATATTTACAACAGATTTACTTCGTGGAAGGTCAATAATTAGCTTTAATTATGATAACTTGATAGTGACAATTCATAAATGATCATTTTATCATAGGACTCATTTGATAAATTGAGAATGATACATAAAACATACAAACATATAAACAAAAGTTTTAACTATCCATTAGATAATCATTTAATATGGTTGTTCCACTTTGAAATAAACTTAGTTGACAAAAAAATAAAATACACATTTCGATAATTTGTAAAGCAAGCAAACTTAGATTTAAGGAATTCTTAATTTGCACCCGAATAAAACTATTAGGATAAAATATTAGATTAAGCCGAAAGAAAATGAGAACTAGATATGTAGCCTGGAAATTATTCCAATTGACAATAGGAATGGCTAATTATATGAAATTTCAGCAAAATTTAAATTCAAAATTGTAATATTATTCTTTCGATAAAAGTACAGTTTTATGCATATATCTCTACACACTAAATGACATAAAAAAAAACCCAGAAAGATATTTTTTGGAAATCACTCACTGAATGATAATGATGATAATTGACTGTTTAGAGAAATTTCTTAGGCACTTGCATACTTATTAAGCGTCTGGCTTATGCATTAAAAAATTTGCATTTTCAATGTACATGTATGAAAGGAATAACAAGATAAAATCATATCACAGAAACTATAAACCTAAAATTTTAAACCTTATCATTCTAATAGGATTTTAAGATAAAAAAAAACCAACTACAAATAGAAATTATAATGATAGCAATATAATTTCATACTTGTTTATTGTAGCTATAGCTACGTTCTCTAGAAAATCATGATCAGTTATACGGCATGTCAATTTTGATCCGACAACTAATGACTTGAAATTTTCATTGCTTTTTGTCTCTGTTTTAGGTATCTATAAATAAACAGGGGAGAATAAAAATATGTTTAGTCACTAGATTTTGATTTACCAACACATATACGACAAGTAGAAATAATAAAATATTATCATATAGTCATAAACCAAGGTGTATAGGAATAAATAAGGTTTTATATATTGGAGAGCTAGGATATGCATGCGTAAAAAAAATTTAGGAAAGTTCAATTTTTATATTCAGCAAGTTAGGCATGAACCCATATTACTGAATGTTAGTTTAAAACATTTCTAGTGCACTTTAATCGACCAGTTCGAACAAATTAATCCAAAAATGAGAATCAAGGATATTCTTCAGTAGAATATATCTTCAACTACGCTTGAGTGAAAACTAAGTAGGATAAGATTTTAGCTAAATAACAGATAAGAAGACTTAAAATCAATAATCTATTTGTTATAGAGGATTTGTAACTCTGATCGAAATGCAGTCATTAGGAAAATATATGAGGGAAATTTGAATTATCTCATCAATTACTTGATTTGCAATATACTTAAGATACATAGAGAATCGAATTTCACCAAACAACATAAGCCATATAGAAATTTTTTAAATCTATTACAAGTTTATACGATTATTTTGCATCATTGTAACTGACTGACTGACTGATTATTTTGCATACACAATATAACATGAACAGACCGGTCCCGTTACATTCATTCTTACTGACCTGAGGACATAAACTTAGCACAAATTCAACGAATGCAACTTAACTTTCTTGAGAATAAATTGCACAAATAACCAGACATTTAATCGTTTATTTTGCAGACAAGTATAGGTGGCTTCTTTAAAGCATAATAGAAATGTGATCATTTTAAAATATTTAAACAAATTTCATTATGGTATTTCACACTAAAAATCCAAAGGATTTGATTGTGAGAGTAACTTGTTATCGTATTTTTCAATATGACGATTGACACATTTGGAGATTTATTAGGATATTAGAAAACGTATCAGGTTTAGGGAGAAAAACAAAACCAGCCAGTAATGGTTTACATACTCTGATAACTGCTTTGAAACCATTTGTTTTAGGTAATTTGACAAGAATAGCACGTTTATTTACACGCTCTACCAATGAATTCGAGAAACGTGTACCAACAGAACACTTGGACAGCATGTCTGAAATATTGAGAACGGAAGGAATCGGATTGACTAGATGAGGAAGCAGAGAGCCTGTTAATTGTTTTGTACTGGGATCCACCAATATGACACAAACAATAACCTAGAAAGACATGAATGGGAAAAAGAATAAATAAAAACTAATGTGAAAAGAAGCAACAATTAAGTTACTGAAATGAAATTTATGAACGACCCACACATGATCTACGAAAATTGGACAGGAATTTTGCAATATTTCCATTTCAGGCAGACAGAGACAGATACAACGCAGAACTTCGTACGTAAGTACATCAGTTCAGGTTGCCAAACCCCATCAGCACAGAGACGCAACTGTCAGTTCAAATCCAACAGTGATAGCAATAATAGAAGTATTAGCAGTAATGGAGAAGATTAGGGAGCGAAGATATGATTCGAGAGGTATAATTCAGTAAGATAAATTTAGAAGGAGAAAGGTAGAGATTACGAGGAATTCAGGTTAGAATTAGCGAGAACACAAAGAGTGGATGCACCTGCGCCATTTGAAACGATTCTGAGCCATGTTATTCAAGGTCTCTAACCATCGGTGACTTTCGTCTAGCGGAACCCAACCAGGTAGCCTACATCTACCAACATGACTCAGTCTACTTATCAGTGACTTCATGCATTTATGCCATGTTTTGGTTTGGCCGCCCCTAGATTTCTTCCAATCTACTCCTACACTGCAAAACATAGCTCGTCGAGACAGTCGGTGGTTAGCCATACGTAACACATGTCCCAACCACCTCAACTGATGAAGTATCACTACTTAATCTATTGATTTGCCGTTCCTACCTAGAACTCGTTTCCTAACGACAGCATTGCTTATATGGTTGTTCCATGATGCACGAGCAATGCTTCGGAGACATCAATGATCGAAGACTAGTAACCTACGGAAGTCCTCTACTCTTAACGGCCAAGTCTCGCATCCGTACAGTAGGATGGAGCGAACTGCTGCACAGTACACTCGTCCTTTAGTCAGAAAACGGATATATATCTCGCCTGCGCCACAAGTGACGCAGGTTGGCAAAAGCCAATCGAGACTTCTGTATCCGAGCTGAGATTTCGTCAGTCAACAGGCCATCAGTGCTGATGAGACTCCCAAGTGAAGCGGTCTACACGATCGACTACTTCACTCCCTATCACTAGTTCAGGTGCCGATGAAGCCCAATCTTGAAGCAACAACAAATGTTTGACTGCAGAGACAAGAGCCAAAAGAGAAAAATAATGTGTTTTTGAAAAGTAACAAATAAGACTGATGAAAGAAAACAATAACCATTGCTTTTATTTTTAGTAGTGAAAGCTGAAATAAATTTTCAGGATATTACAACGATTGACACCATACTCATACCACCTAATGATCCAAAGAGTCAACACAGTGAGCACGTGAATGCTGTGGCGTACAGTACGTACAACTACGTTCGGTTAGGTACAGCACAGGGTTCAAGATCTGCCCTCCAAAGACATAGAGAACGAGACGTTCACTAAGACTAAGGAGGGCAGATGTTGAACCCTGTGCAGTACCTAACCGAACGTAGTAGACATGCTAAACGCCAGAGCAGAGGTCTCACTGTGCTGACTGTGTGGATCATTAGATTAGGTTATGAGTATGGTGTCAATCGTTGTAATATCCTGAAAATTTATTTCAGCTTTCACCATTAAAAATAAAAGCAATGATTATTGTTTTCTTTCATCAGTCTTATTTGTTACTTTTCAAAAATACATAATTTTTCTATTTCGCCTCTTGTCTCTACAGTCAAACATTTGTTGTTGCTTCAAGATTGGGCTTCATCGGCACCTGAACTAGTGATAGGGAGTGAAGTAGTCGATCGTGTAGACCGCTTCACTTGGGAGTCTCATCAGCACTGATGGCCTGTTGACTGACGAAATCTCAGCTCGGATACAGAAGTCTCGATTGGCTTGTTCCAACCTGCGTCACTTATGGCGTAGGTGAAATATCCGTTTGCTAACTAAGAGATGAGTGTACTGTGCAGCAGTTCGCTCCATCCTACTGTACGGATGCGAGACGTGGCCGTTAAGAGTAGAGGACTTCCGTAGGTTACCAGTATTCGATCACCGATGTCTCCTAAGCATTACTCGTGTATCATGGGACAACCGTATAAGCAATGCTGTCGTTAGGAAACGAGTTCTAGGTAGGGATGGCAAATCAATAGATGAAGTTGTGAAACTTCATCAGTTGAGGTGGTTGGGACAGGTGTTATGTATGGCTAAACACCGACTGCCGCGACGAGCTATGTTTTGCAGTGCAGGAGTAGATTGGAAGAAATCTAGGGGCGGCAAAACCAAAACATGGCACAAATCCATGAAGTCACTGAAAAGTGGACTGAGTCACGTTCGTAGATGTAGGCTACCTGGTTGGGTTCCGCTAGACGATAAGTCACCGATGGTTAAGAGACCTTGAATAACATGGCTCAGAATCGTTTCAAATGGCGCAGGTGCATCCACTCTTTGTGTTCTACGCTAATTCTAACCTGATTCCCTCGTAATCTCTACCTTTCTCCTTCTAAATTTATCTTACTGAATTTATACCTCTCGAAATCATATCTTCGCTCCCCTAATCTCTCCATTACTGCTAATACTTCTATTATTGCTATCACTGTTGGATTTGAACTGACAGTTGCGTCTCTGTGCTGATGGGGTGTGGCAACCTGAACTGATTTACTTACGTACGAAGTTCTACGTTGTATCTGTCTCTGTCTGGCCTGAAATGGAAATATTGCAAAATTCCTGTCCAATTTTCGTAGATCATGTGTGGGTCGTTCATAAATTTCATTTCAGTAACTTAAATTGTTGCTTCTTTTCAACATTAGTTTTTTATTTATTCTTTTTCCCATTCATGTCTTGTCTAGGTTATTGTTTGTGTCATATTGGTGGATCCCAGTACAAAACAATTAACAGGCTCTCTGCTTCCTCATACTAGTCCAATCCGAATTCTTCCGTTCTCAATATTTCAGACATGCTGTCCAAGTGTTCTGTTGGTACACGTTTCTCGAATTCATTGGTAGAGCGTGTAAATAAACGTGCTATTCTTGTCAAATTACCTAAAACAAATGGTTTCAAAGCAGTTATCAGAGTATGTAAACCATTACTGCTGGTTTGTTTTTCTCCCTAAACCGGATACGTTTTTCTAATATCCTAATAAATCTCCAAATGTGTCAATCGTCATATTGAAAAATACGATAACAAGTTACTCTCCACAATCAAATCCTTTGGATTTTATAGTGTGAAATACCATAATGAAAGTTGTTTACAATATTTTAAAAATGATCACATTTCTATTATGCTTTAAGAAGCCACCTATACTTTGTCTGCAAAATAACGATAAATGTCTGGTTATTTGTGCAATTTATTCTCAAGAAAGTTTAAGTTGCATTCGTTGAATTTGTGCTAAGTTTATGTCCTCAGGTCAGTAAGAATGAATGTAACGGGACCGGTCTGTTCATGTTATATTGTGTATGCAAAATAATCAGTCAGTCAGTCAGTTAACAATTGATGCAAAATAATCGTATAAAACTTGTAATAGATTTAAAAAAATTTCTATATGGCTTATGTTGTTTGGTGAAATTCGATTCTCTATGTATCTTAGTAATATATTGCAAATCAAGTAATTGAATGAGATAATTCAAATTTCCCTCATATATTTTCCTAATGGACTGCATTTCGATCAGAGTTACAAATCCTCTATAACAATAGATTATTGATTTAAGTCTTCTTATCTGGTATATTTAGCTAAAATACTTATCCTACTAGTTTTCACTCAAGCGTAGTGGAAGAATTATTCTACTGAAGAATATCCTTGATTCTCATTTTGGATTAATTTGTTCGAACTGGTCGATTAAAGTGCACTAGAAAATGTTTTAAACTAACATTCAGTAATATGGGTTCATGCCTAACTTGCTGAATATAAAATTGAACTTTCCTAAATTTTTTGTACGCATGCATATCCTAGCTCTCCAATATATAAAACCTTATATTATTCCTATACACTTGGTTTATGACTATATGATAATATTTTATTATTTCTACTTGTCGTATATGTGTTGGTAAATCAAAAATCTAGTGACTAAACATATTTTTATTCTCCCCTGTTTATTTATAGAATACCTAAAACAGAGACAAAAAGCAATGAAAAATTATCAAGTCATTAGTTGTCGGATCAAAAATTGACATGCCGTATAAGCTGATCATGATTTTCTAGAGAACGTAGCTATAGCTACAATAAACAAGTATGCAATTATATTGCTATCAATTATAATTTCTATTTGTAGTTGGTTTTTTTTTTATCTTAAAATCCTATTAGAATGATTAAGGTTTAAAATTTTAGGTTTATAGTTTCTGGTGATATGATTTTATCTTGTTATTCCTATTCATACATGTACATTGAAAATGCAAATTTTTTAATGCATAAGCCAGACGCTTAATAAGTATGCAAGTGCCTAAGAAAATTTCTCTAAACAGATCAATTATCATCATTATCATTCAGTGAGTGGATTTCCAAAAAATATCTTTCTGGGTTTTTTTTTATGTCATTTAGTTGTGCTAGAGATATATGCATAAAACTGTACTTTTATCGAAAGAAATATATTACAATTTTGAATTTTAAAATTTTGCTGAAATTTCATATAATTAGCATTCCTATTGTCAATTGGAATAATTTCCAGGCTACATATCTAGTTCTCAATTTTCATTTCGGCTTAATCTAGTATTTTATCCTAATAGTTTTACTCGGGTGCAAATTAAGAATTCCTTAAATCTAAGTTTGCTTTGCTTTACAACTGATCGAAATCTGTATTTTATTTTTTTGTCAACTAAGTTTATTTCCAAGTGGAAACACACCATATTAAATGATTATCTAAAGTGGATAGTTAAAAACTTTTGTGTTATATGTTTTGTATGTTTTATGTATCAGTCTCAATTTTATCAAATGAGTCCTATGATAAAAATGATCAATTTATGAATTGTCACTATCAAGTTATCATAATTAAAGCTAATTATTGACCTTCCACAAAGTAAATCTGTTGTAATATAGTTTTATAATCCAAGCTATTATATTTCAATTTTACTTCATTCAAGACATGGTTGTTTTGTATGCTGTAAGCAGCAGCGTTAAAGCTATGAACTCCTACAACAATTGTGTTACAATTTCCCCACCCACCTATTTTCGTTCTTTAGCCTTTATTATTACTAACCATCAAATTTATGAACAAGTGACTGAAAACTGCATAACATAAACTGAAACTTACCAACTGAGTATGTATTCTTGTCTTGTAAGTAAGCTTACAGTAGGTTGTGGAATGATTCACGAAGAAATTTCCTGGCTATAATACCATCAATTAGCCTTGTAGGTGATATGGATTGAGTAAATTTAATCACTGATAAAGGCTTCCGTTTCAATAGTGGTACAGTCTATTATCCATTAGAGAATTCCTCTTTTTAAAATTTTCATACCCAAAAGTTATATTTTTCTGGAGTGAATTATAAGTGCCAAGAAACTTATGTAACATGTAAATTTAATTTCTGTTGTCTGTTGCTATTTCTATATCAATTTCATCTAATTTGAACTAATAGTTTCACAATAGTTGGGTGACTAGTTGATATTCATATAAAAGCATTGTATAGGAAAATTGTATTTTTCAGTCTGATTGATTGAAAGTTTTAAGTAATCCAACGATTCACGCGCAATCTGGTCCAAGCATTTTCAAAGGGACTATAATCAAGCATCAAAATTATTGATATTAAATACATGGTTCACGAATTATCTGTAAACCAGACAAATCATCCAATCATGTTAACTTTGGGAAAGATTGATTGGCACATTTATACATGTTATCTTAACACACTTTTCACACCAGTGCTCACACATACTATAGTCAATAGCCGCTTGCCACACTTAACATAGTTGAATAATTTGCTTAGCTTACAATTAATCGGTGATGCCGTTAGGTTAGACCGAGATGTCAAGTAGAATATGGTGACCGGACGTAATCCAGTCTGACCAGTGTCAATCCTGATTGTCCCAAACTTTAGCAACGACAAAAATCCTCTTGTGGCAATCACAGAGAGATCAGTCTAACTAATATAGTGTCTAAAATGTTAGCCACGATCATACTTAAACGCCCAACTAGAGTTCGCGAAGAGCAAACTCAAGAAAATCAGACTGGTTTCAAACCTAGACGTGGATGTATAGACTATATTTTCACTCCGTCAGGTCCTGGAACATAGACACATTGTAGTTGTATTCCTTGGCCTTAAGACTACATTCGACTATGTTGATCGTGAGGTACTGTATAGTGTCTGTCATTGAAAAGTGTACCAAGAGAAGTACGTTAACCTTATACAGGCTCTCTACTCGAACACTACTGGTTTAGTGAGAGCTTGTAGGCGAACTGTCATCGAATTCTTTACTTCAAGTGGTGTCCATCGGGGTTGTCCACTTTCTCCAGTCTTGTTTAAACTTTGTCATTAACGTGCTTTTATGTACGACGCTTGCATCTGACTTTTCAGGAGTTGACCTCTACCAGGAGATGTCACTGATTGACTTGGAATATGCAGATGACATAGTTTATATTTGGTGAAGACGCTGACAAAATTCAGAGTCTTCTGACCACATTGAGAACAAGCAAGCATTTTCTGGACGCACTTCTTTCCCAAAATATGCAAAATGTTGTTTTCAGGATTGGATTCCATTGGCACCTGACCCAGTGATAGGGAGTGAATCAGTTGAGATTATTGACCACAATCTTAGGAGTCTCATCAGTGCCGATGGCCTGGTGTATGACATAATCTCAGCACGGATACAGAAGCTCGACGAGCTTTGCCAACTTGGCGTCACTTTATGTGTAGGCGAGAATAATCCGTCCTACTAGCTTAAGAACTTGTCTACTGCACATCAAGTTCAACCTATTCTACTGCATGGGTACGAAACATGACCAGTCAGAGTAGAGAATATTCATGGGTTACTGGTTTAAGACCATAGATGTCTTTCGAAGCATTGCTCGTGTATCCTGGGACTACCGAGTAAGCTATGCTGTTGCTAGGATACGAGTACTAGGTAAAGATAGCAAATCAATTAGTAGTGAAAGTGGAAGTAGTGAAACTTCAGCAGTTGAAGTTGTTGGGACATGTGTTACGTATGCCTGACCACCGACTGCTCGACGAGCTATGTTTTGTGGTGTAGGTATAGGATGGAAGAAAGCTAGGAGCGGCCAGACCGAAACATGGTACAAACCCATGAGTGACTGACAAGTTGGTGAGTGTAGACTACTAGGTCAGGGTTCGCGAGACAATAGTAACTGATGGTTAGCGACCCTAAATGACATGGCTCAAAATCGTTTGCAACAGCGCAGGTGCATCCATTCTTTGGCTTCTCTCAAATCCTAATCCTCTGGATTCTTCATCACCTTTATTCTGTTTTTAAATTTATTTCACTGGATTCTATTTCTTGAACAATTTGTTGGAACCGTAATCTTCTCCGTAACCTCTAGTACTTATGCTGCGTCTACTGTTTCGGGATTTTGACTGACAATTGAGTCTTTGTGCTGATGTGGTATGGCAGCGTGAACTTATGTGTGTACGAATGTACGAAGTTCTACATTTTCGCTGACTGACTGAGCCATGTATTTATATTCAATAATTTTGATGGTCGATTATATTTCTTTTAAAGTGTGTGAATCAGATTGCCAACTGAAACGTTGGATTTGCTTAAAAGTTTCAATCACAGAAAATAATAAATTAAATTTGATTAGGAGTTTGATCACTTCGGTTCGCTCACCCTTTTGATGTTGAATTGCATCAGATTTCATGTTATTGGAGTGAACAAAAAGACAGTGCGTATCTACACCTAGTCATCCATTTTACTCATATATAACTTGAATAACAGATTACATTAAGAACGCAATGTGAGGTTTATGATTCTTTCAAAAGGTATGTTAGTTTGCTGCGAGCTACTCGTGTAATACAATATTTGCCTGTAATACCTGGCTAGATATGTAACTCAAGGATTTAGTCACTTCACTAAAAGTATTCAGTCATGGACCAATGTATAGTAAAGTTTTTGACATAATTAATCTGTACTGAATTTTTTCCAAATGAGCCCTATGTTATTAAACTCTTACATTATTTGTCTATATTTGGTTAGCGTTTTGGGTAGATAGTAAAAAGTAATGATGAAAATATTGACGCGTTATACTAATATGGATATAACCATATAACAGAGCTCGTAAAAAATCATAAGTTTTTTTGTTTTATAAAAATGATCACTAGGTAGGTTAGAGTGTGGTGTGAGCTACTTATAAGTAGTATATGACGTGAGTGTCAACGTAATGTCTGGCAGCAGAAGATGGGGGAAGGTCAAGAAAGGAAGAGTTAGAACACTATGGGATTTGTATGAAATGCATGAATAGTGACAATGGATTGATGTTTTGTAACAGGAACAGTCCAGTTCGCTATGATGGACTGATGTTTTGCAAATGAACGATTTACGTTGTGGTTTTCCAATTTTACTGAGTAACTCTGTAATTTTCGTTAAATACAATCCGATTGCCCCACCTGTGTTCTCGTTCACTACAAGAGTAACAATCCTGACAGTTATGTTTCTTTATTCTTACTAGGATTTCGCTGTTATAAAAATCTTAAGCAGGTTACCTCAATTTCTAGAAGGTCCAAACCTCGTCTCACCTACTTTGGTTTTGGAAACCGTGTAGTATCATTAGCCCTTACACTTAGTATGATTCGTACCAAAGTGTCTGGTAAATAAGCTGACATAAAATATTTTAAAAGAAGGGATTTTATTTATTTTCGACATACATTAAAAGTTTTTCTACTTTCTCTTTCCACACAAACATAATGCTGAGCTCTTGTTGTTTTCAGGAAACTGTTGAGTGTACCGTTTTTGTCTCTTCATGAATTAAAACCTGGGAATAAAGTATCGGTAAGTATTTCTCAATGTCATTATCCTTATTTGATAATTACAACTTTTTAAAGCATATATAATCATTATTCAGTTGAGAATAACTTTTGTCAGTGAATGTACAAAACATACCTCGATTTTAGATAACTGATACAAATTTAATGAAATCATATTTTTATACAAAATTGTGTTGAAAGACAAAGTTAATATTTAACACTTTCTGATTGATAGAAATTGACTGTTCGAAATCAATATAAGATAGTAAATTAGGTACCGAATAAACAGAAAAAATAGTTTAACATATAAATGTCAAATCATATGGTGATTTATTAACTTTCCACTTTTATTGTGTGCCATATAAAATGACCATCGTAGTAGACAAATCTTTATTTCAAGGGATTAACCATAAACTTTATCACGGTCAGTATAATACTAATAGATCTGGCATTGAGTTAAACTTCATGAGTGTGAAGTGAACTCAAAATCTAAAGCCTGTTCTTCAAAACTACTGCCTAAAATTAGCACCGAAACTTTCGTTGTCCAGCTATTGTACATAAAGTATTTATTGTCCTGAATCATTTCATTAGGCCTTTCTATTTTTTCAGATATATATATACGTTGTAATCAACGGGCTAACTGTCTCCCGGACCTCAACATCTACTTTCACTTATTTATTTGTTTGTTCAAATCCTTTTTTTCTGCTACTACCTATACCGTTACTATTATCAATACTTTGGCACTCACCTGGATTTTATCTCGTTGACAACTTGAACCGATTTACGTATGTGTCAGGTTTTACGCAACGTATGACTGACTGATTAGTTCGAATTGTGTTCCTTGTATGTCAATCTAGATAGTGAGGTAGTTTCGCTGGCTATCAAACCAAAAAGTGACTCAAAGCTGAGCACATGAACATTGACTAAGTCTCATTAGTCAATTATAAATTTCATTTATTTGTTCGTCCTTCAATAGTTATTCGCTGTCGATCCACATTTTTAAAAAAGTCTATTGATGAGTATTATTCTAATCGTTAATTGTTAATACTAGTTTTCATTTTGTCCGAAGTAATCCATATACTTGTTCAAAATTAGTCAGCTGTTTGAATAACTTCATTAGATCAAGATACTGTTTTGTTAGTACAGTAGATCGTGTAACATAGCTTATTCAAATAAAGAATAGTGGTGTATTGAGAAACTTCGATTTCCCATCAGATTTCTACTAATTTATATCTATGTGTACGTAATTGTTTTTCTATACTATCTACAGGCCACTGTTAAACGTTATTCAAAAACTGGCATTGTTGTTCACCTAGAGGGTCGGATTCACGGACTAATACCTTATCTACACACAACTGATGTTAATCTCAAAGATCGTAAAGAGAAATTTAAAGCAGGCGAAAAAATTTCTTGTTTAGTAAGTTGGTTGTTGTTTATTTCTGTTTTATCGTTGTAAATTCTCCATTGTCTTCATGCATGCATTCCTAATTAAAGACGGTTAAAGCTTGTTGTTCCAGCGTTGTTTACATTACAATCAATGTAAGTTTCTATGTGTAAACGATGACAACAATTAATAGGTATGCGAATTAAAGTAGTTGTGAAATTACGATTCGGCAGTGAAATGCCATGCGTCTAATCAATCAGTTACAGTTAAAAGCAACTGAATTCACTAGAATTAAATCCTATTTCCCTCGAATGTAACAGTTTGCGACTTGAATATTTTCTACACATTAGTTATATGATTTCTGGTGTGAAATGCTATCTCAGATTGCTGATGCGTATTTCTAGGCTTTAATCTTAATTATACCTACATTTTTGAGCTATTTCTGGAACCCCGTTGAAAATAGTAACGGTTTAGTAAAAGATTCGACTTTGTTACATTAATTCCATACTTCCATATTGTAAGCAGACTATTTTTAAAACTAAGATTGTCGTGTGACTAGCTCAGATGATATTTATAAAATGTATATCAATTGATATATCTCATGTTTCAAATCAGTTGAGCCCTTGTCAATGTTTCACTATGAGTTATATGGAGCTTATAATCATTCACTCTTATATTATTTGATGATAAATTAATGTCATTTTCTCTAAGACATTCTACTGTATTTAAAAAAAAATAGATCTGGATCATTAATTCATCTATGGACTATTTTTAGAACTGCTCGGAGAGTTTCGTCTCTTTGTAAAGTAGATATTACCCATAAATATAGTAATTCTTGTGGTGGTGGTGGTGTTTGGTTTTCTGGGCTGGATGTTTTGATTGTGGAGCTTTCATTGTTCTTTGAACAACATCATCAGCACAAACTTCAGATAGTAATTCTTTATAACTGCGATCGTGAATCTTCTGTTGGTTGAATTTCTTCTCTTCTTTAGTTTCGTGCATACCTTTTGAACTAGTTTTGAACAGAAATTGTAGTGCAATAATTTTAAACTAAATGTAAACTTTTTTTTTCTTTCACTTTAGGTTTTACAACTTGACGAATGTGCCAATAAATTGATTTTAACCGCGAAACCAGGTTTAATAAATGCTGAACTTCCAATATTTGGCAGTCAGGAAATGTATTCTGCACTGGAAAAGGGCAATAATGACCAACTATTGATTATAGGGTTTATTGTTAAGGTCAGCGAAAAAGGTTTACTTATCTCTGGTTTGGATAATATTCGTGGATGGATACCTAGACGTGAGACTGGACTAGCTGATGAAGATATTTTGCAGACAAACTTTTATCGTGGACAAGTACTAAAAATGAAATTTAAACGTGAAATTAACATCTCATCAGAAGATAAAATAGATGATAATCAGAGTACTCGTTCAAAGTATATGCTTTCCTTAAAGGTACATTTGTTTTCTTTTTATTTGTAAATTTTTTGTCATGAAAATATGAGAATATCACCACCGGGATATATCTATGTACCTGATCATAAATTGACTACTGTACCCAAATAAATTGTTTTGGTAAATTACTGGAATCGAACATTATGAAACGTAATATATGCTCTTGATACATTAGTTGAAATTGCCATGCAATGTTCATTCATCAAATAGTGGACCTGTTTATATTAATAGGTTACCACATAGAGGTTGAGTAAAGTAAAGTAATACGTTAATGTTACCTTCATGATCTAATGATGACAATTCCATGATGGTGATCTTTTTACTCTAACAGCCAGCTGTTCCTTGTTGGCCTTGATATCGAATAAATTCCGAAGCTCTTTCTGACTTGACGAATGATCTAACTGTTTTTCATAAATTTCATTTTATATAAATTTTGAAGATTAGTAGCACATCAACTCACACAGTGGAATTGTATGAAATTTCTCTTCATTTTATTCTAGTTTCATTCTAAGAAAACTAAAAACACACAGTCGGTATTCTTGAACTCTGTACAAATTGGTCAGGTAAGACTGATATTTTTCAAAATAATATGTTCTTGTCGTTGTTTATGGTTGATAGCTCTGTTTTAAATGGTAATTTGCCGTCTTTCCTTCACTGAAAATGATCTTGATTAACAGTTGGGAAAAGATTTATTAATATATGTTACTGTGGAATATTGGCTTACGGCTACTTACTTGAACTTAATGAACTTAACCTATGCGAACATCCCATGTACCTAAATTAATGGTTGTTCTGGTTGTCAGAAGGGGCATTAGCCTCGTGGCTTCCGACGAAACTCAGTTTTCCCTGTCAGGCATGATGGCTTTTCTAAGTGAAAGCTTTCAACCGACTGTGCAGAGTTTAAATGGTTTGAATTATTTTTTCTGTTTAGCCTTTCTTTTAGCATGTTATTTTCTACGGGATATGGTCGCTAACTCCATGCTCAACAGTCCTTCTTTATCGGGACTCGGGACCGAGAGTAACTGTAGAGGGGCTCCATGCTAGGTACAGTATAAATAATGGTGATATTTAAACTTAGCTTAGTGAAATTAAGTTTAAACTTATAACTCTAGTAGAGTGTTTAAACCACTACGCCACTACTCATGAAGTGATCTTTTTTCAAAGGATCAATTTAGTTCACATTCATTAAGACACAGATACCGGCTAACTCTTTCATTTATTTTTGGATAATCTGTTTTAAATATTTTGTCCATAGGTAATTCTGATTGAATTCCCACTGTTTCTGTTCTCAATCTCAGTTAAACAGTAACTATAGGTCCACACCCATACAAATATCCTTTATTCTATGAACACTGAACGCCACTACTACTTAATCTACATTTAGCACTTGATGTGATGAAGGTACGAAAATCAGTGAAATCGAAGATTTTTAAGTTTTAGTAAATGGATTTCACGAAGCCTCCGCACAGTCATGGATATTCATTTTCTTGCTTGATGTATTTTGTTGATGTGAGTTATATTACACCCATAGTGTTGTGGTAAACAGTTTACTTCCAAGAATAATTGTCAATGTTTTGGTCAGTTAAGGGATTTTTTTTATAGCAACAATGAATATTTATCACAATCTATCAACAACTATTATTTTTATTGAATACATGTATCGATCAGTGGTATTAGACTCCTCAGCAGTACACATCAACAACAGTCTCGGACCTTCGGTCTTGCGTTTGTGAAACAGTGTTAACAGCTAACTTCAGTCAGTCAGTTTCATAATGATAACTATTATTTTCCCATTCTGTAACTGTATTGTTAGCTTTTCAGGGCTACTGTAAATCGAGTACAAGACACTGGAATTTCTATTAACCTTTACGACAATGAAAAGAACAGTAATACTGACGCTCCTGTACTCGGTACAGGATTTCTGTCATTTGATCAATTATCTGATTATGAATCAAATCAACAACTTTTAAGTCGATATATTAAAAATATAAAATCTGGCTCTTCGCTTGATTGGAATCACTTTGCTCGTGATGTTGTCGTTATTGATAAAGGGAAGCAAACTGTCATTTTATCTGCTAGACCAACATTAATCCAAGCAGCCAGTGATTTGAATACAAATATTAGTACTGACGTTAATAAGGCTGATTCAGAAGTATCTACTAAAAGGCCTGGTTTCCTAAGAACGTTTGATGAATTACAAGTGAGTCACGTTTTTTATACTTTATACATCATGTTAATTGTCGGTCGGTACCACATCTCAATTTTGCATGACATTCTAGGTCGTGCATAGATAACTATGTGGTTACAGTCGCTTACGGCTCTTTACTAATAGTTGAAGCTTCTATTCATCAAGATGAGCAAAGTAATAAATAAATATAAGGCGAAACAAACATTATCTATGTTTTGTACAAAAACAACAAGTTAAAATGAAAGTATACATTCACAAAAACGATTGCCTTTTTAATATCTATCTATCGAAAACGTAAAACTCCAGATAATATTATAAAAGTTTAAATGAATACGCTTTCTGACAGCACAATAATACGAAGAAAAACATTTTTAAAAAAATAATGTAGCCAGCAAATATTATATACATAGAATTTTATGATATTTTAAAATGGAAATAGTGGTTGCCTTTTATCTGTTCTATATAATTCACCCTTGATTATTTACTGACTTACTGATCCCCAGTCAAAATGGTTCCAGTAGTACTTCAACCACTATACACTGATCACGTTTTTATTTCACCTCAGTTTTTAAATATTATTTTTCGTTCTGTGCATTTTTGTTTCGAATAGGTTGGTAGTCAGTGGTTTGCTTGGGTGTCACATCACAAGGACTACTGGTGTATTTGTTCACTTTCCCGCTGGGATTTATGGCTTTGGCACCGAAGCATCTTTTATCTGACTGTCGCGTTCCGTCTAATACTAACTGGACTGAATTGTTTCCAGTTGGTGCTACTGTTATTGCCAAGATTGTTGAAGTGACTCCTGAAAAACGTCATTGTTTGATAAGCTTGAAAATGTTTGATATATACACTGCTAAAGAAAATTATGTTAATGAGGCAATACATTCACTAAAATATTATTTAACTGAAAGAGAATGGATCTCACAGAAACGTAAGCAAGAATTGATTTCAAAAACCACTTAACTGTATTCATTGTTTTTATTCCATACATACTTAACCACCTTCTTTCATTGAGTTTATCTTAATCTCTTATTATTTTTCAGCAAATTTTTTATTTTATTGTTCAATTTATTTTTTATTTTAGACGAGCTCTTAGGTTCGTTTCGTATTGGAGATCATGTTGATTTCAAAGTTGAAACATTGGAAAATTCTGTAATTTTTGGTAAGGCAAGTAAACTATCAGAGAAAAATCCCACTAAACAACACGCATGGGTACCAGCTTTGGTGTATGTGGCGAATTCAAAAAATACAGACTGTGTAATTTCTCAAACATACTCAGGTATTGTATGTTTTGTTGATCATGAACAATCACGACTAGAAATTGTCCTATCCACTTGGTTGGTAAACAGTATGATGACAAGAAAAGAGAATGTTTCTAGTTGTTTAAAACGAAATCAACAAGTATCGTCTATTGTACTGGCATATCGGAATCGTGACGTAGTCGTTCTTGGTTTACGTGGTCATGCAACTGGATTATTAGGTGTTGTACCAGCAAGACGTACATTTAATGATGTAGTGGGTGGAAATGCTTGGGTTGTTGGCCAACGAAATAAAATAACTTTTCGACAGTAAGTAAATATTCAACCAACTTTATCTCTAGTATATTTTAAATATATATCTCCATTTCAACACTTAGCTAGTTTTGAATACTTTCGATAAGTTCGTGTTTAATATTCATAACTACTATCTGGTAAATTAAAAGCACACAATTCATTAATACTCTTCATTTTCACTCTGAAATATCCAATGGTCATTTTCAGCATTCTATTAGGTTGCCAATTAATTGTGTAACGGTGTCGTTGAGTTAACAAAATAAAATTTTCCGATTTTTGTTTATTGAATAGCGATCAAAATTATTTTGAATGAAAATATTAAGAGAAGTTTCAATCAAAGGAGATACATTATTAAACTGAATTATAAAATTCTGTTGAATACATGCTTATATGATTAGATTGACAGAAATATGTAACAACATTACTTTTTTCAGTGATTTCTCATAGAAGGCCTTTCGCAACCCTGATGTCAATATTTTTCAGTATGCCTAGTTATCTTACTTATAAGTAGTGTAAAATGTCCATCCAATTTGTTTGCTAATTATCTTCATATATTTTAATGTTCTTACTATCTTATCTCATTACAAGGTCATATCCCTACAGTAGTTATTGTAGTCATACTTTCAATTAGTAAGTTTTAATTTTTATTGTCTGTTGTCGATTTATGGAGTACGTATTAAGTACAAAGGATGTAGGCTAATAATAACAGTATTTTCGTAATAACTGTTCTGTTGAATATGTCCATTCGAGCACAAGACTGCTTTTATATTTCGATTTAAGACATTGTAAGCGATGCAGTAAGAATTCTGTAAAGTATGAATTAATCTCATTTCACTCCAAGAGATATTATTTTGCTTTCTTTTAAATTTCTACTCATGCGGTGTTAGTGCTCTTCTTTTGCCGACGTTCAGAATCAAATATATACTTTGTTTTATTAATTTGTACACCTGATGAAGCAATATACCTTTTGGTAACAAATCGTGTGGATAAATTTAGTATGAATAATTAGTTTTAGTGGAAAACAAGTTTTATGTTACTGGTAGAGTAACATCGTTTTGCTTCATTTTTTCATTGCTAGATCATTCAAACAAGAAAACAATTCAATGAAGTTGAAATTGTGTACCTTAACAATTTATGATCCTATTGAAGATGATCAAATAAAGGTGACTTCTGATGAACAGAATAACCAAATGAACATGTCTGATAATGAAAATCTTAGTGGCATATTAAATACATCAAATCTTATTACTTTTCAACCAGGTCAACAAATTTCTGATCTCTACTTTATGAGTATTTACTCGCAAACAGCATTTTTCGCTGTTGGCTCAGTCAAAGGTCCACATGTATATTGTCATTTGATCAATTGGGATAATAGTGTTAAATCTATAAGGGCATTTTCAAGTCATCCACCTGAAGTTGGTGCAAAAATTGAAAGGACTGCAACTGTTCTTTTCTCTTATCTTGATGATAAATTAATTATTAAACGTAAAAATATGGGATTTCGTTCGAAAATCTCAGAAATCACCTTTCTTGGTAAGCATATTATATCGTTTCTTTTTCTAAAATTAGTTAAATATTTACTGTGTATCTTATTTGTTGTTTATTGGTTTATTGGGAACAAAAGTATGTATTACTTACTTACGTACTTACGGCTGTTACCCCCAATGGTGGACCAAAGGCAGCCTACCAGTTTTCTCCAACCAACTCTGTCCTGGGCTTCCCTTTCCAATTCTGTCCAATTTTTGTCCATTCTTCTCCTCTCTTTCTCTATTTCTCGGCGTAATGTGTTCCTTCGCCTTCCTCTTTTCCTTTTGCTCTGAGGGTTCCATGTGAGGGCTTGTCTCGTGACGCAGTTAGGTGCTTTTCGTAATGTTTGTCCTATCCAATTCCACCGCTTCTTCCTCATTTCCTCCTCCGCTGGAATCTGGTTTGTTCTCTCCCACAGTAAGTTGTTGCTGATGGTGTCGGGCCAACGAATACGAAGTATTTTGCGTAGACAACTGTTAATAAACACTTGTGTCTTCTGGATGATGGCTTTGGTAGTTCTCCAAGTTTCCGTTCCATACAATAGAACTGTCTTGACATTTGTATTGAAAATCTTGATTTTGGTTTTGGTTGAAAGTTGTTTTGGAGTTCTAGAAATGCAGCCCTTGCTTTGCCAATCCGCACCGTCACATCTGCATCGGATCCACCTTGATTGTCGATGATGCTGCCCAGATATGTAAAGATGTTAACGTCCTCCACGGCATCTCCATCAAGAGTGATTTGGTTGCTGCATGTTGTGTTGCATTGGAGAATTTTGCTTTTTCCTTTATGTATGTTGAGACCTATTGCTGCTGAGGCTGCTGCTACACTGGTTGTCTTTTCTTGCATTTGTTGTTGAGTGTGCGATAGAAGAGCCAGGTCATCTGCGAAGTCCAGATCGTCCAGCTGCGTCCTAGTTGTGGATTGTTTTCCGTGCTTCCCTCCAGATGTCGACGTCTTCATAATCCAGTCGATGACCAGGAGAAAGAGAAAGGGTGAGAGTAAGCAACCTTGCCTCACCAAAAGTATGTATGCAACACTGTAATGATTGTAACGAGACAAAGACTGGAATTGAGATGGTGGAGAAAACTTGTAGCTCAGGTGGATGATTGTGAAGGTGTTTTGTTCTCTGAGCTGGTTGTTTTGGTTGTGGAGCTTTCATTGTTCTTCTGAACAACATCATCAGCACGAACTTCAGATAGAAGTGAAGCATTAGAATTTCTCCACGTTTGACCTGTAGCTTGTTCTGCTAACTTCGATCTTGATTGGTTGTTGTTGACCTTTGGCCTGTCGTTGTTTGCAACTATGTTTTGATTGCCTCCCTCTTTTGATCTGTTTCTTGATCTAGTGTCACCTATGATTTTCCTGATTGGTTGATAAATTGGGTCAATGTCGATGTGTTTGTTGATTGCTAATTGACCTGAGTGCCAAGCTTCTAAAAATTATCTAGTGTTCTTTGTCCTCCCCCTACCTAGTATTTCCACGTTGTTCCAATCAAATGTGTGTCCATAATTGTCGGTGTGTATTGATATAAGCGAAGCGTTGTCGTGGCGTTTGACTGCTAATTGATGTTCACGTAAACGGAGCTGAAGAGGTCGTCCACTTTGTCCTATGTAGTGTTTTTCACAATTTGAGCAATTTATTTTGTAGATGATATTTGGTTTTTCTTCCTTTGTCATTTTGTCCTTTGGTCTACATAGGATTGACTGAAGTGATTCCGTTGGTTTGTGTGCCACACCCATTCCAAATGGTTTCAGTAGTCGTGCCGTATGCTCTGATATGTCTTTGATGTATGGTAGGATGATGCGTTTATTTGTTCCTGTGCTTGATTTCACTCCTGATGATAGTTTTGGTTGATGTTTTTTGATGAAGTTGCGTGGATAGCCGTTCTTTTGGAAGATAGTCATCAGATGTTTTTCCTCGTTTTTTAATGTTTCGTATGTGCTGCAGTGTGTCTTCGCTCTCTTGAACAGAGTTTGTATGCAGTTAATCTTGTGGGTTCTTGGGTTGTTGCTGTCGTAGTTGAGAATTACGTCGGTGTGGGTTGGCTTCCGAAATACTTGAGTTTCTAGTTTTCCTGTGTTAGTTCTGGTGATTAGTACATCCAGGAATGGTAGGCTGTTGTTTGATTCATTTTCCATCGTGAATTTGATGTCATCAAAGACGTTGTTGATCTGATTGTAGATGTTCTCCAGCTCATTCCTTTTGATAATTTTTTTTTTTTGATAATTTTTGATAATTTTTTTTTTTTGATAATTTTTTGATAATTTTTGAGAAATTCTAATGCTTCACTTCTATCTGAAGTTCGTGCTGATGATGTTGTTCAGAAGAACAATGAAAGCTCCACAACCAAAACAACCAGCTCAGAGAACAAAACACCTTCACAAAGACTGGAATCTAAGAAAAAAATTACTGAAGGTATGGGCACCTGGGCAGTAACCCAACGCACTCACGAACTCTAATTTGTATGTCGTTTAAGTACGTAGGTTCCCCTTTGTACCAATTGAATAGATATATAAATAAATAAGAGTAATAAGGATGATAGGAGATACAGTTTGCTTAAGAAGAATACGATCTGATGGAGTTCTTTTGGTTAGAGAAGTTCCTCTTGTTTGAAAGGCAAGGAAAATTACAGTTGAACCAACAATTGGTTTCTGTTCTGAATCATGTCTGATGATCTAAAAAGCCGTGAAGAACCAAAGAATACCAAGTCTGTTCAGTTTTCATAATACAGGACCATACCATTAACTGACCACCTTACTTTTTTCAATATTCAACGTCGGTAAATAGTGCAGATTAATCATTTTATGTGCCGAACATGTTACAATCCAAAGTATATCATATCAATACATTAACACATTCTCGCAAACAGGGCGAAACACACGTCCTGTATTCTACTGCTAGCCACTATCCACCTCTGATAATAATGCTTGTAATCTGAAGGGCAGGCAATCCGCGCAAGATTCAAATATGCCAAAAGAGAATGATCATTTGCAGTCCTAAACAGGAATTGGAAGATTCAATTACCAATACAAATGAACTTATTCCATTGTTATAATTTTAAGGTCATGACTATTTTTTTCAGAATTATACAGGTTGTGTTTTTACGCGCCAAGTACTTTTTCTACATTTTGTTTGGTTGTTGCTTGCTTACTGCCTCTTCGTATTTCGATTGACCTTGGTGTTCTCCAATTGTTCTTGTTCTTCCCGCTGTGGTTATTGTTCGTTTTCCATTCATCACACAAAGGCATATTAACACCGGACATATATATAATTTAGCATACAACCTTATGACTCATTTCTGTTTATTTATAGTTTTTATTTGTAGACTAAAGTACAAAATATGTAGTCGACTTTTCAATAGATTTTTTATTTTGAAGGGTGAACAACTAATTGGAATAATGACCTTTATATTACGTTTGTATGTTTGTATCTGGTTATGCTGTGTTTGCCATTTCCATACCCAATGCTACGGTTCGTCAGTTTGTACGCATTATGGCGTAGAGATGATTTACACGTTTAGATAGAGCAGTGTCTTACTTTTGGATGCTATCTTTAAACTATTTTCCTCCAAAGACTTTCCTCTTAAGCAACGTTCTTTTTATTTCTGGGACATGGTATTTCAAAAATTGACTGTAACTTAGCAGTCGAACTTTGTCAAGAAAGCACGTACTTGACATAAAAATACTGAAGGAATAAGCCATGTTTAAAAATTTTATTATTACTTCACAGTTCATTGTAGAATAAAGTAGAGTTTTTTTCTGTTAAAGGTGTTCAGACGAAATGGAAATGCAATATTGTTGTGGAAAAAGATGATGGTTTGAGAGGATAAAATCTTCTACTGTTGAAATCAATGGCTAAACTGCAAATTGATAGGTGAACGCGATGATATGATGTAACAGGTTAATGTCTACTTATGAACTCAAAGTATTGACGGCAGTACTGTAATTTAGATACTGACCAGTCAGATTTAAGGTTGTGATTCTTGATATTTAGTTCAGAATTCACTCATCCGCACGGCCAAATCACATTGTAGCACTGTAGGTGACGTCAGTTTCTTGTGAAGACTTTCATTGTAATGTGTAATGCGTAGCATGTGGTCGAAATTCTTTAAGCCCAATTTAATATCACTCAAAAGTCGTCCATAAAGCAGTAATATTAACGATCAAATATCATGACAATCCACATATCAATAAGTATTATCCTTTGTCTTACTTTTAATATTATTAATATGCACTGTTAAATGATTTATAATTTAGACACAATGGACTCACATATCACTGCGTGGAAAGGTTCAGCATTTTAAAAACTATTTTTCGACAATTAGTTGTATTAATTTTTTAATAGTTTATCACTTTGACTTTTAATCAGTCAAACAATTATGAGTTTAAAAAATTGTTTTCCATAGTTTTTTTTAATTATTCCTATAATAATCATAATAATATAATTTTTCCTAATCTCTTAGATAAACCTAAAGTATCTGTTGGAGAATTAGTTTGTGCACAGGTATCCCGTTTAAAGAATGACTATTGGACAGTTTTTCTACCTGGTCGTGCTAGTGGACGATTGCATGTAACAGATATGAATTATTCAGATCTAGATGTTAAGCCATTGGATTTAACTGTAACGTCTAATACTTCTGAGTCATCAAAAATTTTCAATATTCACGAAAACTCAAATCAAATCAAAGCGCATTACTTTATTACTTGTCGAATTGTAGATCAATGTCAAATTGTCAATACGAATAATGATGATTTGTTTAATACCAATGATACCAATGAAGTTATTTATTTTGTCTCTAATAAAGTTAAGCTTTTGTGAGTATGTTAATATTTTCCTTGTATAAAGTTTTACTACGCTCCTTTAAGAGAGAAAACTTATTCTCTAGATAAACGGGTTTAAGCTACACTCTTTATGTGAAGTATATAGATACTACTCGGCTTTCATAACCGAATAATTAGCTAATTCTCCTGCAATTGTTTATCTAATTTTGTAAAAACTATGTCAACATAATTAAATAAGTAAGTAGTTAGGTTTGTGGTTTTATTTTTATTCGTAATTTTCTACCGTTCTCATTGTTTATGTTTGCTAGAACTAAGAGTCTAGTAGTAGTAGTATATGTCTTGTATTTATGTCTCGCCGAATTCGAACCAGTATTCACTAAAATTAAACAAATGATGAAATTATTAGAATAGATTATTTAGATTCTTTCTACATTTGTATTTTCCTGTAAATGATTATGTACAATTAATTTTTAGTTTACGAAGTATATCAATGCTGTATGTTATGTGTTGCAAACTTTAGATAATGTTGTCTTTAATTTTTTTCTAAATTGTTTCTCAATAGACGAGATTCACCTCTATCAAGTGCTGATGAACAGTCTGTGAATAAGCCGCCTGATTTTAATATACCAGTTGACGGATTTGTTAAGACTATTCGTCCACATGGTCTTGTATTATGGTATGTTATTTCAACTGTTAATACATTTGCACATGTTTCATTTTGTTCAGATGTATTCGTTTCTCAATAACTTGCTCACAGGCAATTTAAGTAAAAAAAGTAGTAAATAAAGTATTTTAGATGCGATAAATTTTACTTTTTTTTTAATCTAAGTAAACAGATGTTGCACTGCGCATGTGTAAAGCGTGATGTGAATATTAAAAAAAGGAGTCAAATCAATTTTGAATAACTTAAAGGCTGTGAATATCTTATAACCAAAGTTATTAGTATACGTTAAATTTACCTACTAACTAACTGGATCTTTTGATCAAGAAGAAATGGAAGTAGACGAAGTTTTTTATAAATTTCTGCTAATGTTTGATCTTAGCCCATGGTGATGTCAGCTGTTGTAGGGTTTCATGTTTAATTACTGGCTTACATCCTTAAAACATCATAAATATCTTAGATTTTGGTTGACATGCTGAAAATCGACACTTTCTGACTTAATCATAAGGTGTTTACATTCCTAGTTTGGAGTTTTTATCTTGTGTTTGGTGATTAGTAATGTCTTAAAACTGACAAGTGAAGGTGATTTCAAGTAAAGTTATTTGAATTTGCTTGATAGAGTATAATTGTTGTAATGCTGCTACGTATAGAGCTATTCAGTCCTAGCGGCGTCCAATTCAAATATACCAATACGACCCACAATGCTATTTCCAAATCTCCTATGTATCAGAACGCAACACCGTGGGATGGATTTGTTTATTAGGTCGAGTACAGAAGAGAGGTAGGCAGGAGAAACGGAATCGAAATTGGAATCATGAAGGCTTACAGATAGTGCATATTTATACATTAAGGTCGAATAGGAAAGAGCATCAAAGTCTGTGACATTGGCAGTTTAGGACGACCAATAGGAAAGAACACTTGAAATGACATTGACAGTCCGTATAACCAATAAGAGACAACATTGAAGTATTTGACTTTGACAGTTAAAACGACCATAATTTTGACCAATAGAAATCGACCAATGGGATTACACTTCTAAAAATAGTACTCTTAGGATATTTGGTGAATATCCTAACAATAATTTAATGCGCTATGTTCTCTGTAGGTTTGTAAGTGTATTTACAACATCTACATATTCTTTAAATGTTTTCTTATTTTAAGCGAGTAGATGAGTGTGGAAATTTCTACTGTGTTAATGTTTTAAATGTAATACATTTGTCTAATGAACTTCATATTTATTTATTTTCCAATTTTCTATTCCAGTTTATCTCGAACCATGGATATTCTAGTTCCGTTTCCTCCTGATATGAAAGCCAGACTGAGTGTTTGTGGAATCCGGTTTAAAGTTGGTGATCATCTTCTTGTTTGTCCTAAAGGGTATAGTTATTTTTTTTTTGCATGTTCCTTCTGATTTGGTGTTTCTTTAAAATTGTGATCAGTTTTGTCTGATTTTATTGATATGCTTTTAGGTAGTTCTATTTTTTTATTCTCATTAAGAATCATGCTGTTAAATTTTCCTTTCCTAGTTCTTGTGTAATTCGAGCATATTGAAATTCCCTCTGGTGTTACATATTATATATTGTGATAATTGACTACATCGATCGATCGACCGATCGATTGATAAAGTTACTGTAAAATATTTTAACCACTGTCATTGATCACTGCAACCTAATTAATAAGTCTGTATACATATATGCGAGCAATGTCAATAAAATGACCATATGTAATCGTGTATTTCGATATTTATAGTTTGAAAATTATTACAAAAATTTGACTCATAAACTAAACAATACAATTCAATGGTTGATTTTCGTTTATTTGAGTTCAAGCAGTAAGTAGGTTAATATCATTAATAAGTCTTGTCTAATATACCATTCTCATGATTGTTTCTTATCTCTGGGAACTTTTATTGTTATCTAACATCGTTGGGCATTAAATTTATGGTTGATTGTTAAAAAATAGTAATAAATTCATTCACATGCTAGTAAGTAAAAGATTCACATTTCATTTGGCAATATAATTTTCAATGCATAATAATTTCATACTTAAAATTTATTGATAGATCAAGTTTAATTAGGAAATAAATTATTGTATTCCATTGATAATTCATGTTACTTTCCCATCTTTTTTTTAAAAATTATTAGACTAATCAATGATAAACTTGTCGGTGAATTAGTTTGTGATAATTCTAATAATTGTGAACATATTCCAGAAGATTGTATGCATGAACTTGTTACCAAACTATTGAATGAATTATCAAATCAAAAAACTACTAGTCAATCACATAAACGTGAACTAGTTATTCATGATGATTTGAATGATACTTTAGATTCCATGAATTATGAATCAGCTTCAAATACATCGTTGATTAATGAAGATCATTTGAATCCGTCACGTAAACGAAAATTCACTGATTCAAATGATGAATCAATTCATCAATCATCATTCAATGATGAAGAGTCAACCTTCATATCAAAAAGTTTAAAGAAGAACAAACAACCTCGTCTAGAAGAAGATGAAATTAATCTACCTGATAATAAATCTATAAAACAGAAAGTTAAAAAGAAAAAATCATCAGATGACTTTGTAAATAATTTACCTTTAACTGGTGATAATATTTTTTCGAAAAATTTACTGAAACGTTATGAACAATATATGTATCCTAAAAATGAAACTGAAAATGAATGTGAGGATAAATTGCAGACGCATCAAATAATCGAATCAACAGATGCAAACAATAATGAACATTTAGATGTTGAAATGAATGATAAAGAAGAAAATGGTAAACAAACATTTTTGTTTTAACTTGCTTTTTTTTTATAACATCCATCTCTAAGAAAAAATTTAGAATCTTTATAAGATGAATTAATTTATTCGACACACTTTCACTTTAGACATCAAATTCATTGTTAGAATGTTAGAGGGAGATTGTATCATTTTAAATTAAATAAGATCTGAATTCATGCTTCTATAAGGATGATTAACTCAGCCTTTATAAACAATATTCACCTATGTTGATTTATATACATAATAGTTTTATTTGTTATTCTAAAGTTTACAGCTGAGAGTACTTCAATTATTCACAGTACTACATTAACAACTAGCATTGTGACTTATTTGAAATAATATTGTTGTAATTCTCTAGTTATTGCAACCCAGTTATTCCTAATGCTTTCTCGGACACCAATTCACTGGAGACGTTCCCCCAAATCGGAACACGGTTGAAAAGGAAATAGATTCTATTCCAATAACAAGGTTATAAGTGAGACAGAAGGTCCAAAGGAATAGGACGTTAGTATATTTTTATAGTTTTCTTACACGTGAATATTCTAGAATGTACCCTTAGTATTGGCTAGCACTGATTGGATTCGAAAGAGCCAATAAGCGTGTATCAACGCAATAGTACTTTACTCCAATCTTCGTCCCACAGTAGTATATGACGCGAGTGAAAACCTAATGTCTGGCAGCAGAAGATGGGAGAAGATCAAGAAAGGAAGAGCGGGAACACAATGGAATTTGTATGAAACGCATGAACAGTGAAATGTCAGACAATGGATTGATGTTTTGCAAATTAACCGTTTACGATATGGTTTTCCTATTTTACCAATTAACTCTGTGATTTTCGATGAATACAATTCGGTTGCCCTCACCTATGTTCTCCTTCACTACACCACTAATAAATATACATAGAAAAATGTAGTACTTCAAACTAACTTTACTTAGTACTGATAAGGTCAATGGATATAAATTCACTGGCTTTGGTTTCTCAAAATTATGTGCCGAACCTTTACTTTGTAGACAGGAATTGCATTGTAGTCCAATTGTACCATGAACAATCCAACACTTATAGACTCTACAGATTCTTGTAAAAGCCTTTGTTGATTATGGCGATGTTCTTTTATATTGTTCGATAACACCTCTTGTGATTGTTAATGTTTACGAAGCTGTTGGATTCAGTTACCGATTAAATAATAAAGAGTTATTCTTGGTGTTTTCAATAGTTTCTGTATTTGTTATTTTCCTAGTAGAAAGTCAAACTGCTAAAGAATGGCGTTTACGAGAGATGGAGATGCGTAAAGCTATGTTGGCAACATTGACCACTGAACAACAGTGTCTTCCTAAAGGACAGTTACATCCACAAACCACAGAAGAATTTGAATTAGCTGTTCGTAATATGCCATCAAATGAAGTTTGTTGGATTGCTTATATGACACATGTGTTGTCAAGCAAAGCAGGTCATCAATCTGTTAGTAGTGGTTCTAGCAAAGGAGTTATAGACGCCAGAGCAATTGCTGACCGTGGATTACGAGCTATTTCAAACTCTACCGGTAATAATCAATTAGTAAAACAATCCCGTTTACTCACATCCTATTTAATTATGGAAGCAAAAGAATTGGAACGTCTGTCCTGCCTTCAAAAACAACAACAATATCACTTGTCATCTTCAACATCTATGTCAGATTTAGTAATAGAAATTAATCAACAATCAAAACGTGTTTCCCAGTTACTGACTCAATTGTTGAATTTAAATCAAGCTCCTTTTATTAGAAAAGCTATCGATACTCTTTCAGATATCGGTCACCACACAGTCAGTTTCTCTTTTAATATTATTATTGTGTTCACTATTTTTCTGAGATTTTACTACTAATCGGTACCACGTTTTTTTTTCTAAATTCTGAAAAAAAATATTTCAGTACTCTGTTTTCCACAAACCAGTTTTGTTGCATGTACCTGCTCTATGTACCTGCATCCCTGTGTGTTGATGTTTATAACCTGGTTTTGAACCTAGTACTTACCGACCAGCTCCACTGAACCCACCCAACATCGAAGCAGCATCCACGGACCTCCCAATTAATATTGGCGCACCTACGATTGAGGAGATCAGTATGGCCATCAGACAAATCAAGAGCAGCAAAGCAGCAGGACCAGACAACATTCCAGCAGAGGCAATGAAAGCAGATGTAGAAGCAACTGCGAAAATACTTAATATCCTCTACAAGAAGATTTGGGATGAGGAACAAGTACCATCAGATTGGAAAGAAGGATACCTGATCAAAATACCAAAGAAAGGCGATCTCAGCAAGTGTGAGAACTACACAGGCATCACTCTTCTTTCAATACCAGGCAAAGTCTTCAACAGGGTATTGTTAAACAGAATGAAGGACTTCGTGGACGCCCAACTTAGAGATCAACAGGTCGGATTTCGTAAGGATCGATCGTGTACTGACCAAATTGCTACATTACGGATCATTGTGGAACAATCAATTGAATGGAACTCACCACTCTACATCAACTTCATCGACTACGAGAAAGCATTCGATAGCGTGGACAAGAAAACACTGTAGATGCTTCTTCGACACTACGGTGTGCCTGAGAAAATAGTTCGTGAGTGCGTTGGGATACTGGCCAGCTGCTCATACCTTCAGTATTTTCTTCTTAGATTCCAGTCTTTGTCTCGTTACAATCATTACAGTGTTGCATACATACTTTTGGTGAGGCAAAGTTGCTTACTCTCACCCTTTCTCTCTCTCCTGGTGATCGACTGGATTATGAAGACGGCGACATCTGGACGGAAGCACGGTATCAACTGGACAGTTAGGACGCAGCTGGACGATCTGGACTTCGCAGATGACCTGGCTCTTCTATCGCACACTCAACAACAAATGCAAGAGAAGACGACCAGTGTAGCAGCAGCCTCAGCAGTAGCAGTAGGTCTCAACATACATAAAGGAAAAAGCAAAATTCTCCGATGCAACACAACATGCAGCAACCAAATCACTCTTGATGGAGATGCCGTGGAGGACGTTAACACCTTTACATATCTGGGCAGCATCATCGACAATCAAGGTGGATCCGATGCAGATGTGAGGGCACGGATTGACAAAGCAAAGGTTGCATTTCTACAGTTGAAAAATATCTGCAACTCCAAACAACTTTCAACCAAAATCAGGATTTTCAATACAGATGTCAAGACAGTTACACTGTATGGAGCGAAAATTTGGAGAACTACCAAAGCCATCATCCAGAAGATGCAAGTTATTATTAACAGTTGACTACGCAAAATACTTCGTGATCGTTGGCCAGACATGGTCAGGAACAACGAACTGTGGGAGAGAACAAACCAGATTCCAGTGGAGGAGGAAATCAGGAAGAAGCGGTGGAAGTGGATAGGACACACATTACGAAAAGCACCTAACTGCGTCACAAGACAAGCCCTCGCTTGGAACCCTCAAGGCAAAAGGAAAAGAGGAAGGCCAAGGAGCACATTACGCCGAGAAATAGAGAAAGAGATGAGAAGAATGAGCAAAAATTGGACGGAATTGGAAAGGGAAGCCCAGGACAGAGTTGGTTGGAGAAAACTGGTGGGCGGCCTATGCTCGATTGGGGGTAACAGGCGTAAGTAATTAAGTAAGTACTCACCGTTAGTTTCAGACGCCAAACATGTTATTCGCTTAGCTATTAAGCTGACATAACTACTAACTTATTCAACGAGATTGATGCTTCTATCACTAGTAGAAATGTTTTGTGTTAGTACATTGTTGAAGTTAGGAATGAAAGTTCGGTCGACCTTTGCGAATTGCATCTATGTAGTCATTATGATACCGTAATATAAAAAATCGGGCAGATTAAACGCTTCCTTTTAATGGTCTGAATATGTTTCCAGTACTTCAGAGTATCTTTTAAGATACGCCATTAAGGTTTGAGAATGTTATATTCATGCTCAGTTTCGTGAATAGCTATAAACTTAGTTTCAAAACACATCGTTTTTTTCAAGGATTCTGCATTCCATTAAATTAAAAGAGAAACGCGCTACTTCATTTGATATTTTGATTCGTTTTTTGCTGATACACATTACATTCGAATTGAAAATTTTTAGGATAAAAATCATATATTCTCCAAAAACTGTCTTTATGTTTGTCATCATGATCTTTGTTATGCTAAATGCTAAAAAGTGTTTGCATTCTTTATGTTTCCAATTTAATGATTGAAACCAAGTAATATTCACTCGTACTTGTTCTATGAGTGTCATTATATGTGTGTTATTATAGTGTAATGTCTCATTTTTTTCACATCGAGACAATTAATTATATTTGTGAAAATTAACTTGTCAATATAGAAATGCGCTTATTTGATACATTCATTTAACAATAATCTAATTATTATTTCTACTTTAAACCCAGTATTTTACCAATGTAATGTATTTATTTACTTCTCATAGAGAGGAGGAGAGGTAAAGAGTAACTTGCCTTAAAACATATACACACACACGTACACAAAGACAACTAACAACTGGTTGTGATAGATTGATAGTTGTGCCATAAACAATGTATTTCCTCCTTTCTTCATTATCTGTAACATTTTCATGAGTATAAAAAAAGAAAGCAAAAACGCGCATACATTCTTTGTTTTAAGACATAGAAAAAAAATAAAAAGAATTACGTCTTTTCAATATAGATTGTTTATAACCTTGGTTATCTATCAATTTATCATGTTGATTTACGCTTAGTTGTTTCTTGGTGTGTGTGTGTGTATGAATAATTAACAGACAGTTAGTTGATAAATGGATTTTTTTTTGTGAATGTTTGTTTTTCAATATTTTTACACTTCATTATATTTGTTGATCAATTAGAAGTTCATTTTGATTTTTCAATTCAGTTGAACTAGATACAGTTGCATGATGCAGTAATATGTGAACTGTTTGTTACCAAGTTTAACTCTTGTTACAAATCATCAGTAAACTGAAATTTAGATAATTAAACTCTTGAGACTAGGTTTTTTTTCCTATACACTCGAACTTATCGGGATTCAAAGCAAACTGACTTTTTCAAAATACTAAACAAATAGTAGTAGTTGTTGTTGTTGTAGTGTAGTGAAGGAGAACACAGGTGAGGGCAACCGAATTGTATTTATCGAAAATTACAGAGTTACTTAGTAAAATAGGAAAACCATATCGTAAACCGTTAATTTGCAAATCTTCAATCCATTGTCTGACATTTCACTATTCATGCGTTTCATACAAATTCCATTGTGTTCTAACTCTTCCTTTCTTGATCTGCCCCCATCTTCTGCTGCCAGACATTACTTTTACACTCGCGTCATATACTACTTATAAGTAGCGCGCACCACAATTGTAGTAACACTGAACGTTCTAAAAATTCCTGCGATTTTCCAAAATTTCAATCTATCATTGAATAATAACATTGGTACTTATAATCTCTCTATATAAGGTTACTATTCTTAATTCAATTTTTATCCTTGTCTAAATGAATGTATATGATTTGTGTATTGGACGGTAGTGAAAAGGGATTAATGTTTCGTTAGTACAATTTGTGCAATTCAATGTTTACGTTCTGTGTGTCAATAACAATAATGATCATAATGATAATATACGTAAATAATACCAGCGTTATTATTTCATCTTCTCGAATGCCATATAAGTTATCAATGCATACTCAAAATAGTAGTTTTATGCTAGAATTATCATATTTATTTACTTCTTAATTACTAGTTATTTTTTTATGTTTGTTTACATTGATATTCATTGTTGCTTTGACTGCATCTATAGTCCACTTGATAATTATATATTATGTTAATGCTTTTTAAAAAAGTACTTCAGTATCCAAATCATGATTTATTGTGATCAGTCTAATGATGCGGATAAATTAAATTCACAATTAGAAGTATCGACTTAATCAATGTACATGCCTGAAATATTGGGTCGATTCTTGACTTACGCATGTGAAAAAAATAGCACAGGTGCATTAGTTCATTGTGTTCTCTCGAATTCTGACCTTATGAATTCCTCATCATCTCTGTCTTTCTATTTCTAAAGTTATCTCACTGAGTCATACTTCTTGAATCATATCTTCGAACCCTAATCTTCTCTATTACTGCTAATATTTTTACTATCACTACCACTATTCGATTTGAACTGACAGTTGCGTCTGTTTGCTGATGCGGTATGGCAACCTGGACTTATATACTGATGTACGAAGTTCCACGTTGTAACTGACTGACATCCAAAAAAGGCAAAGACATTTTACATGTCTGTTTAAATTTTATAATTAATATCATGAATTTTTCATAGTAATTAGTCACTTACTCACTATTAACAAATTGCGAAAGGTAATTTCAGCGTTCTAGTAATAAGACGCTGTGACCATTGGAGTTCAACATTGTTGATTATGAAGCAGTTATCTAGCGAGTGCATTGGAAGATCAATGCGTGATGATAAAAAGTGATTGTAATCAAACATACAGAATGTTAGACACCGTACACTGTTGAATTCTATGCTAAAACGAAACAGCTCTGCAGTATTTTTTGGTTTTCATTGGCTTTTTTTTAAACTAATATATATTTGGGATACTAGTTGTAGTTGTAAAAGTAGTTCATAAATTTGAAATCCTTTCACTATTTAACACTTAATCTACACGTAGTCTTTTCGGGATTAACTTTCAACTGCGTTCTCATTTCGTATTTCAAGTTTTCAGTAGTATATTTTGGAGTGATAAAGGTCTCAGTAGTTTTCGAAGCAAACAGTTAATGTGTGAAGTCTAAGACTCGTTTACCACCCCTAACGTATTATTTTGTTTAGGTACTAGTCTATGTTATTGCCTACTTTAATATTATAAAATCAAATAGTTTAATGGTTTCATTTATTTAGGCTGTCCATATGTTATCATGTATGCCTTTAATGCACTACCCATCTATTCTAGAACTTCCAATAAAGCTGAGATAGTTGTTTGGCATAAAATGACAGACAAAGCTTTTATTTTCCAATACGTTAGGACGTGCAGAACATATGCTCAGCCATCGTCTATCTCAGTGTGCTACCATTTTATCTGTTTTTAAGTCTTCTGGAGTGCAGTCAACTTATTATTCTATATTCCTCCCGATTTGCTCTAATTTTTTAGATGCTCTTTATTTTCTATTTTATTATCCATATGATTAATTCTTGTGTTCACCTTGCTCGTGTTAATTTCCTTCAAGTGTTTTAACATAGATCTTAGTTACTGCAAGCTCTATGCAACTGTTACATATTCTTCATGTTATCCATGTACTGGAGTCTGACCACTCCTTGATTCATTTCCGAATAAAAACAGTCCCATACTCCCTAGTATTTAAATCAACAACAACTCATAGTAAACATCCTTTGAAGTTAACCAACACTTCTTAACCTAAAATATTTTGATTGTATCTTAGTAGAAACTGTTTCAAAGTGTAATCGTTATTATTGATTTGAATTGCAAACGAATCTTCACACTATGCAATTTATTACTGTATTTTTTACTCATTTTACAGCGTGCCGAAGAACTAGCTCGTCGGCAAATAAAATCTTCTCCAAACGATGTAGACCATTGGCTTTCACTTATAAGAGTGCGATTTCGAGCTGGCAATACTGAAGCTGCTCGTGAAGCTCAACGAAATGCAGCTTCGCTGTTAAAATTGTCTTTTCTTCCACAACTTGCTATTGGGTGAGGCGTTGCGAGTTTACTGTCTTTTTTCGATTTATTTTGCATAATTTTAATACTTTTTTGTTACTACTTATATACTGAAAATATTAAAATAGCATTTATTAATTTACCATGTAAAGCTCCATTCAGGGATTGATAAGTTCAGTGCGAATTGAAGCCTTACCTCTCTTGTGATATCAAGAATGGCTACGATATAATCTTTTTTCGCTCTTCGTTCAAGTAGGTTCTCTGTCGAAGGAAACGCCGATAAGATTTTCTTTTAATCTACCATACAGTACATTGGTTGTTAATATTTACAATTGGTTTATCACTTATTAGCGATTAGTGATATGTCTGTGAAGTTATTTTTAGTGCTGTCGATAAAGTTACAATATGTCCACTAGTCTAATTGACATTAACTGGAAAATGCTATATTGAGATTTAAGGTGGTGGTTGGAGGTTGTTGATAGGAAATCCTAGACCTAGGTTATAATATTTGGCATTACTTAATAATAAATCGATTGTAAATAAATATCAGTCTTACAGGAGGTCAGTTGTGCCAGGAATAGTTCGGGAATAACGTCTCTGGCTGTGGATCCGAGTGACATGGGATCGAATCCATCAGGGAGTGTTATTTCTCTCAAGATTAGAGATTCACCTAACGTATGAGTGACGAAAAGAACAGAACCTAAGCTAAGCAGGGTATCTTGGAGACTACCTTCAACCACTGTCTTACTGATTATTTATATGTTATGACCTGCCATCCGGATAATATCTATTATTATAAATAGTGTTCTAATTTCGTTAACGTTTTTCTAGTAAGAACGAAACAGATCTGAGTTAAACCTCATTATCCGATCAGGGATTATCACTTGTATATTATCCACCTGAATTTTTAATTGTTGATCTATGCGAATCATCTAGTTCACTTCAAGTGATTCAAAGAGTAATGGTTCTCTCAGTTTAATATACTCCCAACCAGTCGAAATAGTTTGCTAATTTAGGAATTAGTGGGCGCGCTATCCAATCATATCTTTAAGGTACTTTAGAGTATGTATTTAGTCATCCTTTAAGTATATCCTCTCTAACCTATAAATGTTTGGAGAAAATAAACTAACCGTGTTGTGTCCGCATGATAACTGCAGTCGATGGTGGAGACTAAGCTCAGCGCAGCTCGGATTCGTTCATAGCTACTAATATTTCATCACCCTTTATCTTCCTCTCAGTTTTGAATTTCAACATTGATTCTTACATTTCTTCTTACTTTGTCCTTTTGAGTTTAGTCGTCCCTACTATCACAACTACTACATTGTTCAAATCAGTTTGTCTGTTTTTACCGCTCTTGTCATGCCCGTATGGTGTGGAAAAGTGGGCCGACGCATGTCTTTTCTAGGCTCTAAGTTAATGATAGCTCACTGAATTTATAAGCTTAATAACAACAAGATTGGATTTCGTAAAATATAATTTATTTCCCTATTGTTTTAATGAATATCATTTATTTTCCATGCAGTGTTGCAAGAATTGAATTTGAATATGGCGATGTTGATCGTGGAATACGTTTGTTGCAAGAACAATTAACTGTCCATCCGAAACGTAAACTTTTATATGAAGAATGTATCAAACTATTATTAATGAATGATAAAATTAAAGAAGCCAGGTAAAATTTAATTACAACTTCAATTTAATTATATATTTATCCTGTAATTTAATTTAATTGTTTTTTTCATTGACTACACATTCGTATACACCTTTGTTTAACAACTCTATATTACCTATTATTGGTTTTCGATGTGTAATTTTTTATTGTATTCAATTTGAATTTGAAATAGAAACTGTTGTACTAACGCATATATTTAAAAATTTCATAGCTTTTTCCCAATGATCCTAGTTTGGAATGCAGTGGTTGTTTATTTCAGTCTCATTGCTAGTCTATAATTCAATTCTAATTATTCTCTAATATCCACCATGTCTATTTAGGTGATTCGAATTTTTGCTCGAAAATTTTAATTAGATATTTCTTTGATTTTATGTTTTCGTTATTAACTGATAATATTTTATTACTTTGACTATTGATTTCTTTGTGTTTGTTTGTTTGTTTTACAGAACTGTTCAACAGCAAGCTGAGAAAAATTTAAAACCTGTTCAGTGTACCACGTTAAATTCGTTGTTTGAAGGTCAAGTGAAATGTTGAACAAATTTATCTGTATATCAGATTTCCTTAGAGAAAACGTTTCCTCATTTTTGTACTACTTCTGATACTGTGAATAAATTTTTTGTATTAAAGATATTTAGTTATTTTTCCAATAAGAAATGCATGAATTTAATGGTTGACTTCTGTGTCACTTGACTCAACGATTTTGATGATACACTATTATCTAGTAGATCACATACAATAACTATTGGCTGTATGATATTATTATGGCCTACACACAAGATGAAAGTGTTACCATATTTGCACTATCTTTAGAGTGAGCAATAATACTGTCTGGTTTTGACGTTCTATCGTTCAACCTTTTTCAAGTTCCATGTGCTTCATTTGATCAGTTTTAATTGTATAATAACTTTCAAAATTAAAGATGATTTTCCTTAAGAAAATTTACACATTCTGAATTTCATCAGAAAGCAAAATACCTATTTTCTAAAATGAATACTGTTTCCGTTATTCATACCAGCCGAGTTATAATATTCACTTTCAAATCGAATACATATACTAGCGGTCAAAGTCAGCTTATAAAATGTATCAATTTAGTATAAAAAGTTATCATGCTTTTCAAAGCCTATTTACAAGTTCGTTTAGTTATCGTTGAGTCATATTTTATGTGAAAGCTGCTGACATTATCCGGTTGCTTAAATATAGATAGGTAAAGTAGGGCCTCAACCGGATACCTAGTGCGAGAATGCTGAACAACTTAAGCATTACAATTTTTGATCCCCGTTGTTCTCTCCACCTATTGTTCATCGTGTTTCAAACACAAATTACAGTACGGAACATACATATCTGAACATATGTATCTTAATTTCTGGTAACCTTCGGTGTAATTATACTTTTCAGTTACCGAAAAGGTGCATTCATTTCTTCTCGAAGCACTCATTACAGTTTTGATATACTTTGTCTCTTCTACTATAGAAAATAAATTTTAACCCGGCGATTAAATTTCGCCTAACCAACCATACCTCTGTGTATCAAGATTGCAGTCAGAAATTGAACCCAAGGCACAGATTTTCTACTTAATACTCATCAACTAGATCTCGACCATAGATGCTACCTTGATGTGGTGGTCGGGCCTGCCTATCGCGATGACCCAACCTAGTTATATTGGCTAGAACATATGTTCCTGTAGGTTCTGCCTTGCCAAGCAGGTCTATTATGGAACGGTTAGACTAAAGCAGCAACTCAGGGCGAAGTCGATAAAAGATGAATTTTACCTAAAACTGTCTGATCTTCAAAAAGTTAGGCATTGTGATTTAAAAATAGTGGCTGGTGACTTTATTGCTCAAGTAGGTAAACTAAGCGAAATTGAAGGACACTTGGACGGATCTCATAGTATTGCGACTCACAGAACAGATAATAGCTACTGTCTGCTGCAACTGTGCACATACAATCGCCTACTTCTATCATGTACTAACTTTAAGTAGAAGGAAAACACCTTTTGACATGGCGACCCCCAAAGTCAACTCAAAGCTGGACCCGAATTAATCATTTCTCTCTCAGCCACCGATGCAGGGCCTCTATAGAGTACTCGTTCTGGTACATATGTTTGGATTTAGATCGTGCTCTAATGCGATTGCGTATTTGTTTGCGTCTTACTGGACGTAGGGAAGACGCTGCAAGGAAACCTCGTAGGGCTCTACTTAATGATAGCAAAACTAGGAATATATTTCACGAACATTCCGAGGCGGCTTGGAACGATATCAGAAAAGCTGTGGAAACAGTAGTGACATCATCTGCTAGTAAGGTTAACCATAAGATCAGGGGGAAGAGATGGATTTCAATAGCATCCGCTGAACTGATAGATGCTCGAAAACTCATCCCACTTGGGTGCGAACATGATGAAGAGCGGAGCCAGCTTAAGTTCAGGCTGGTAGGAAGCCTACCTAATGATTGAGAACAGTGGTGGTTAGCGAAAGCAAGAGGGATGGAAGAGACAGCAGCGAAAGTTGACAGTAGACAACTGTTCAGACTTATCAAGGAAACCGGTATTAGATATCCAACTATTAGCGTGACTATCTCAGAAAAAGATGATCTTATTATTCATTCCTAACCCAGGAGATTGAATCGATGGGCAGAACACTTTAGGGATCAGCCACACCACTCATCCTGAGTGGCAAATCGATATAAGTCCGAGGTTTTACGAACTTGAGAAAGCTATAGGAAATCTGAAGCGAGGTAGAATAACGGACCCTGACAGATTGACCCTTGAGATTTTTAAGGATAGTGGTTCAATTTCAGCAATTAGATTGACTTTGATCTTGGGTAGAATCTGGGAACAGGGGATAATCCCATCTCACTGGTCCCAATCACTCCTTGTCTCAGTCTTTAAGAAACGACGAAAGTTCTTTTCTGACAGTCACAGAAGAATCAGTTGAACTAATATGGTATCTAAAATATTGGCCTTATTAATACTCTAACGCCTAACTAGAGCTCGTGAAGAGCAGACTCAAGAAGACCAGGCTGGTTTTCTACCTGGACGTGGTTGTATACACCTAGAACCAACACACACGTTCAGACATCTCACAATAGTTGTATTTCTCTACACTAATTCGGCATTTGACTCTGTTGGTCGTGAGGTTCTGTAACAGTGTTTGTCATTCAGAGGTGTACCAGAAAACTACATTAACCTCATACATACTCTCCACTCGAACACCACCGGTCGAGTTAGAGCTCATAGCGAACTGTCACCGGAAATTATACCCCGAGTGGTGTTCGTCAAGGTTATCCACTTTCTCCATTCTTGTTTAACTTTGTCATATACATGCTTTTAGAAATAAAACTTCCCTCGTCTGATTTTTCAGGAATTAAACTTAAAATATGCCGATGACAGTTCTATTCGATGAAGACGCTGACAAAATTCAGAGTCTTCTGACCACTTTAAGCAACAGTACAAGCATTTTAGAGATACGCTTCTCTCCGTAAAAATACAAACCGTTATTTTAGGATTTGCTTGCATCGGCACCTGAACTAGTGACAGGGGGTGAAGTAGTTGAATGTGTTGACCTCTTCACTTATCTGCGGAGTCTGATCAGTGCTGATGCGTTGGTGTATGACAAAATCCTAGCACGGATACAGAAGGCACGATTGGCTATCGTCAACTTGCGTCAATCAGGACGTAGGCGAGATATCCATCCACTAACTAAAGGACGAGTCTCCTGTACATCAGTTCAATCTGTTCTATTATATGGGTGCGAAACATGGCCAGTAAGAGTAGAAAATATCCGTAGGTTGCTGTTTTTCGACCATACGTGTCTTTGAATCATTGCTCGTATATCCTAGAACCACCGAGTAAGCAATGCTGTTGTTAAGAAGATGGCGAATCAATAGATGAAGTATTAACACTTCATCACTTGAAGTGGTTGGGACTTGTGTTACGTATGTCTAAGCGCCTACTGACTCGACAAGCGATGTATTATGGTATAGGAGTAGGTTGGAAGAAAGCTAGGGGCGGTCAGACCAAAACATGGCACAAATCCACGAAGTCACTGACAAGTGGACTGAGTCATGTCGGTAGGTGTCGACTACCTGGTTGGGGTCCGCGAAATGATAATAATCGATGGTTGGAGACCCTGAGTGACATGGCTCAGAATCGTTTGCAATGACGTAGGTGCATCCATTCTTTGTTTTCTCTCAAGCCCTTATCTTCCGGATTCCTCACACCTTAAAATTTCTCCTTTTAAATTTATTTTACTGGATTATACTTGTTGAATAAAATCTTCTGACCGTGATCTTTCCGATTACCGCCCATGCTTCCACTACCTCAATCACTATAGTTTTTAAATCGACAGTTGCACTTCCGTGCTACCGTGGTATGGCAACTTGAACTGATGTACGTACTTACGCAGTTCCACTTTGTAACTGACTGACTGATGTCAGCTAGATAAACTACATCTGAGTATTGAAGCTAGCACTGGGTTTCCATCCCTGTGCTTATCTTGGTTATGCATAGTTTTTGATAACAACAACGAGAAAGTGCAAACTATCATGGAATTTTTTTTATCATAGTTCAGTTACTTGAATTGATAAATATTTTTCAGTGTACCTTTAATTGTACTAAAACTTGATCCGCTGAAATTAATATCGTTTATTTATACACTATAGTTTACTGAATTTTGCATAATTTGAAATATATTTTTTTCAGATGCTGAAATTATTTTTAATTGTCATGATACTAATGATTTCAGTACGTTATGTAAGCAGCCCATTTACTAATTTAACACTGACTTATTATATTTAGTCAGAAAACGTTCGGCAACTAATTCGCAGAAGGCCATTTCTCTATTAGCAAATATAGTACACACCAGATAACTATTAATGTCTTAATTGAAAAGATAAAATATCTGTTTAACCATCGTCGGGAGTTCCACAGCACATCATGAATTAAATAAATGAGATTGATGATTATGTAAAATAAGAAAGAATCGATTAAATTACGAAAAACGTTGTTGGAGTGATGAAAGAAAATTTCTAAAAATGTCACAAAGACAAAAGTAAACTATCTAAGTTCGTAGTAAGCAATGTAACTGAAAACCGTTGTATTCTTCAATATTCGTCAGTTATAACAAGTAAATTGACACATGCACAAAATGAATAATAAATGTAAGCTAACTATGGCCGAATTGATGAGTGTTTCAAAATATGTCAATTCAAAAAGCTCGATAGATAATGGATGTTGTATGCTATCTGTTTGTAAATCTATATCACTACCTTTGAAAGTTAGAGAGTATCCTGTTCATTTAGTTTACTCGATCTTAAAGAACTGTGCATTCGAATCTTTAATGTCATTAAACAGAGTGGAAGAACTACAAAATTAATCTGCTTTCGGATAGCCAGATTTGCTCACTGTAACATAATAGTTAAAGTTTCTCTGAATTATTCACGATATTACATTTGCAATAAATACGCTTACCTAAAAAGTGATTGGCTTGTGAACTGCTGTTTTGATGAAAACTACTGTTTGTACTTAAATCCAATTATGGTAGGGAAATAAGATTAAAATATAGCCCGGTCTTTTTTTTTCTTGTTATCTCTTTATAAGGGATAGGGTTTCTAGTTATTTTTTTGCTTTGAATGTATATTTACTTGAGCAAATATGCGTCTTCAACTTGCTAGAATCAAATAAGCCGCGAAAATAAAGACTACCTCAACGAAGAAACGAAAATAACAAGCCGGTTATTTATCGTACAAAGCAAGAAAAATGCCGCAGATTTATTTCGTTTGAAGTGCTTGTGATGTACGTTTTCCTTTGGGTCAGTAAATAACAGTTGGAAATTATTCGCAAATAGTGTGTTTAAGATATGTGTTAAGGAAACATCTTTAATGCATTCCATGTTGACCAAAATTAATAGTTACTC